AATGTACTATATATATACGTATAAATATATAAATATCTATTACATAGTAATAAACTAAATAACGTATTTACGAAAAGTAAAAATATAATATATCTATACGTATAAATATATAAATATCTATTACATAACGTGTTTACAAAAAGTATAAATATACTACATGCAGACGTATAAATATATAAATGTCTATTACATAGTAATAAACTAAATAACGTATGTACAAAATCCATTTATACGTACGTAATTAAACAATCCTACAAGTTGGATTCAAAAGAATGAAAAATGAACGATAAATCGTAAAACGAATCTCTCTGAAAATCTGTGTAAAAACTGCAGATGAAATGCACGATCAGTCACGCAGTCGAGTTGCGTATTTATAATCTATTTATAATTTAAACGGAACTGCCGTATTCCATCTGGTGAAGACATGGTCAGAACTGGTTTATAAAACGACCTTAACGAAGAGGATTGTTGCGCCGCGCCACGAAAATGATAGTTGGCGGGTTAAGGAAGTTCGTCGATACACGTGAACATTCGCAACCTTGATAGGACGTTGCCCCAGCATCTCGCTGAGTGGAAGAGAGAAAGAAAGAGAGAGAGAGAGAGAGAGAGGAGAGAAGGTTGTGCAGTAGTGTTTACACTTTACGTGCTCAGCTGAGATCTCCAGGTGTCACGAGACAATTCTCAGTGTGGAAAGCTGGGGAAGAAAAATAGATATTGTTCGTGGCGCGAACCGTAATAAGGATAAATATTAGAGGTGTCCAGTAAGTAATACGTATATATTTCTGTTATTAGGTGTACGTGTACTGCATTCGTATACATTTTCAGACAGATTTTCAGAGAGACGTCTCACGACGAATTTTTTTAGTATTTGTTTCTGATTGCGGACACGTCGTTCTTCACTCGTCTTTGAATCTAACTAGACTGTTTAATTAGATACGTATATAATAAATTTTATAATCACTGTTTGTACACTATTTGTCTATTATCAGTACTTATGTACTACTTATATATTTATGTAATAGTTTAGTATTAATATATATTGTATTAATATATTTATATAGTAGTATATTATACTATAATATATTACCATATTAAGTAGTATATTATACTATAATGTACTATAATATATTATACTATATTATACTATAATATATTAGTATAGATAAACTTATATAAATATTAATATATTCATATAATTAACTATAATTATAAATATGAATATTAAGATATTTATATAATTAAAACTATAATACACTATTATATATTTATATAATAGTACAGTACTATATATTTTTATATTTATATATATTTATCTACTATTTATACATGCAACTGGACGAACGATTATGCATTCGTGTACATTTTTTTAGACAGATTTTCGGAGAGATATTTTACGAATTTATTTTGACAAAATCGAATCTGATTAAACTGTTTAATTAGGTATGTGCACGTACGTCAAAAGTAGATTTACATCACGTTTTGTCAAATTCATTCAGGCAGAAAGAAACGCACGATAAAAATTTATAATAATGTTATGAAATATTATAATATATAATATAATATATATATGTGTATATTTTATATATAAAATATAAAATTAATAATATTAGGACAAAGCTTGATATCCAGGCGCGCGATGAAAGTGACAGAAGTGCCGGAAGTGGTTACCGACAGTTTCCCCCGGCAGGAAACACACCGCATCTCGGTCCAGTGTCCTCCAATCGATCAAGGATATCAATCAGACTCGCTCGACGATCCCGCGTGAAAGCGCGAAACGTCGTCGAACGTGCTGTCACGATTCGCGTCACGATCTGTCCTCGATCGGTATGCCTCGAAGAAGAATCGACATCGAAAACGTTGAATTCGTAGAATCTCTCGAATTTGTTTTCGATCGTTGTGAATGATCTTGACGATATATGTATATAATTCTGCCGTGTGAACGTCGAGAATTTTTTGTACCAAAATCGTAATATTTGCTCAGTTTCAAGTGAAACAAAATGTATAATAAAATATATTTTATTATATATAAATATAATAATAAGTAAAGTTTTTATATAATCAGTTTCAAGTAAAATAAAATATAAAATATATAACAAAATATATTTATTATATTACTAGATTTGATTATATTTATTATATTAAAATTTGATTATATTTATTATATTATATATTTAAGTAAAACAAAATCGGCAAAACAAATAATAAATCTATTACTTCTCAATAATTTCTATCCAGTAATATCGTACCGAAGAGTTCAAAAAGAAAGCGACTACGGTTCGGTCACTCGTTATGGTCCGCAATTAGTTGCCAGCGCAACGTGGTTAATCTAGAATAACGTGCCACGCACGTCGAGAATTTTTTGTCCCAAAATATGCAATATTTTCTCAACTTTAAGTATATTTAAGTATAACCCAGGCAAGACAAATAATAAATTTGTTAAATTACTTCTCAATAATTTCTATCCAGTGATATCGTACCGACGAGTTCAAGAAGAAAGCGACGAATTTATTGTGTACGGTTCGGTCACTCGTTATGGTCCGCAATCAGTTGCCAGCGCAAGAGCGTGGTTAAATCGTAAGAGAGAGAGAGAGAGAGAGAAAAAAAATGAAAAGTTTCAATTTCAGATTGCAAGGGATAGGATAAGAGGAGAGGAATAGAAATATAAGAGGCACGAGGTTGCCGAGCAATTGATTGATATTCGAGGAGTAAGCTCGGCCCGTAATTTCGATTGTAATTTAACGGGGGGAGGGGAGGGCTGCAACGCGCGACTGACGCCTCGATCGGGCATTTTATGCAGACAACAATGCGTCGAACGTCAGCGAGATGGCTCACGCTGGGAGGAACGTCCCTCATCAATATCCATAAGTCAGAAGGACATCCGTCTTCGCGCAACACACGCGGAATAATTTACAAGGATACGCGATAACTGGCCGTTGGTGGACAACGTGCGTGAGGTAATAATGCACGGGAACGAGGTTCACCGCCACTTGGTCGTGCCATTTCCTTTCGACGATCCGACGATAAGACGCAAATGCGAATGAAACTGCGTGTCATTTATTAACTGATCTGATAAAATGTGAGAGAAAAAGATTTGAAAAATGATCAGAGCCCATATAAATGGAAATATGTTCGAAAAATAATGGTTTAGGGTCGAGTTATATACCGTAGGGAAAAGATTCTACTTCATTTCAAGCAAACTTGAAGTTTCTTTCTTAAAGCCACGTTTTTTTTTCTTTTTTTTTTTCTTGTTACCTCACTCTTACGTCATAGCTACGTGCAATCCACAATAAGCTTCGGCTTTCTACAGCAACCTTCGGTTGAAAGATAAATCTATCAACGGTTAGTCGCAACTTTTTGTCCCAATTAAGTTAATTTTACTCTGGTGATGTTGAATAATAATTAATAATACCTATTAATTTTATTTAATAACTGGATACGACCGTACGAGTGTTATTCGTTTAATAATTAATTATTATTGACCACACTTTTTAAACTCCATTAATTTTTAATTAATTTAAATTAATTATTATTATTAACCACACTCCATTAACTTTCCTTAAATTTTTTTAATGTAAAAAAAATTTTTTTTCAATTTTTTTTAAACTCCATTAATTTTTAATTAATTTTTATTAACCACACTTTTTGAACTCCAGTACTATCTATGTTTGCAGAAACATGAATTTGTAGACGGGATATAATGAAAGTGAAATTCGTTTTATACGATTCAAAGGTTTCGTTGGTCGATCAACAGACAGATTTCCGTCCACGATGATGACACACGAAAGTATGCGGCTAACGAAATCCATTTGAGAACAATAGAAAAAGGAAAACGAGTCGATCAGTTTGCTCAACGACGCAAACGACGACGAAAAGAGTAGCAGCAATCCAGCCAGGAGGGACAGACGGCTGATGAAGAAAGAGATTTAAAAGACGGATGCAGATTGAAGATCGTTTCTGTGTCGCAACAATTGCCGCTTTTCATTGGGACAATTTCTTAATCAAGTTGTCATCGAATAGCTTAAAAAAGCAGCAATTTGAGGAGCGCGCGCAACGAGCGCATTTGAACCTCGTCCTTTGTAGATCTCATCGTCTTTGTTTGACTTTTCATTCGAATCTTTGCCGAAATTTTTCGAATATATTTACATTTCAAACTACTCTTTTAGCTTTCGCTGTTCCTCGAGATAAGGAAGTCTTTTTTTTCTTTTTTTTCTTTTCTGTCCGATACTGTGTGATATTTTTAATTTGAAGCCTTTGAATTTCTAAATTTCCGAGCGCTTGAATTTTTTTAACTTTTCAATATCCTGAGTTTCCACTCGCGTTCGAGGCAATCCCGTAATTGTTGGCGGACAAGCAAACGTAAATGAAACGGTGTAAATGGTTGGCGAACAGAGAGACACTCGACTTGGAGAAATGAAAAAGAGCCGAAGGACTCTGGTTGATCGCAAAGATTAAAGGCTTATCGAGATCGGGACCCGAGCTCCGCCTTAATTCCATCCCGGAACCCGCAATTTTCATTACCGACGCCGTTTGTTATTTCGCGATTTTGCAACAAATTTGCGGTTGTACGACATTGTGTAATTTAACGAAAACATTTGTTCAAATACTTTGTCTTTTCTCCCTTTCTGTTATCCAAATATGTATGTATATACGCACGTAACGCTGTATTATACTTTCAAGCGTGAAATAAACGACACGTTTAAAAAAAAAAATACACGATAAAATTCGCGCGATGCCTATTCAATAATTTAAAACGGATGCACAATTTCAAATTCAATTTTAAAATTCTCAGTTTAAAATTCTCGATTTCAAAGTAATATCGATATAGAAATCGATAGCAAAAGAGAGGGGGGCAGTTGCGCGCGCATCGATGCTTGAGGCACTGAATTTATACAGTATAGTTGTAGGATATACAAAATACAATGCATGCAATATGTATGTATAAAATTATAACATAACATTTTTATGCGGTTAATTGTCTTATTCGTTGATTTTTCACTCACCGCATCGCTGTCTTGAAACTACTCTGGCAGGTTCCTTGGTGAAAAATGTCTAAAAACGACTCGTTTCTTCCTCACGTACACATACACGCACTTCCTTCTCGAGAGACTGTTTACGACTGACGTTTCACGTTTCGTACGTCTGTTACGAAAAAGAAATAACGTTCATCATCTGATTATAACACGATGTCTTCCCCCATGCAGTATCATCGTCATTTTTATCATCGCGCACGTATGTCGCGTATGAACGGAACGAATGCATGTTTGGTTAACTCGACTTGAGCTCGTCACCGTGTTCGGAATACTTTACACCACACGTTACGATAAATTAGGTTAGAACGTAGAGAAAAGTAGTACAGTACTACAACGCGAAATTTCGTACAATCCCGATCTTTTGCGATTAACTTTACCTACAATTCGCACAGACTTGTCCGAAGCGCGTCAAACTGGCGGGTTTGAAGCTGATTTGTGACGTCAGCGCTGACCGTTAAAAATTTAACATATACCATGAACTACGCTGCGTGCGCCGAAAACAAAACTTGTCTGAATCGGTACGACAGGATGTGATACAAAAATGGTAAGGGGGCCCCCAATCGTGGATCGAAAAAATATATTGTATGCGAGGTCTATTCATATATGCACCTCATCTGCGATCACAGCAAACAGATCTGGCAACACTGTCCATATTTTTTGATTTTAATTCTCATCACCAGTAGTGCTGCGATGCAAAACCTGCCTGAATCGATACGACAGAATGTGACACGAAAATGATAAGGGGATCCTAGGACCCCGAAATTATAAGATAAAAAAATATATTGGATGTTTTTTGTATTTACATACCTCGTCTCTGCCACGGACAACACAGACCCAAATATACTGAATAGACTTTGCATTTCAATGATTTTTTACAAAGTCGGTATTTCAGAACGCGTGATGCAAAGTTCCGTAAGATGTCGTGTCGATCAAGCTTGTCGTGTGAACGCAGATGTCACTGTTCAACTATTAAACACGAGATAGTGTATATAAAACTCTCATTACGAATTTTACTATGGGAAGGCGACAAGTAAGTGACGCTTGGTAATCATTTTAATCATATAATTTTCCAAAGCTTATACGCGATTGTCGATCTCGAATCCTTTTTCTAACCCTAACGTTGTAAGGAACGACGAACAAATTTTATATTAATTTTTATGTAACGTTAACAGATGCACCGGATGTGACAGGCAGCGTAATAACCCTTAAGGTTAAGTGACATTACGCTTTTTAATATATTTGATTGTTTTTTTTTTAAATCGGTAAACAATTTTGGAACGATGCCAACACCAAATTCCATAAGCGTAGCCGTAATATGTTCTAGCAATATGAATAGAAGCATGGAAGCTCATGCCTTCTTGAGGTAATCAATCCTAATAGTAACCAAATTGTTAAGTACATAAGATATTGAACAAATGGATATTCCTGTTTCTTCTGTTTCAGTAAAAAGGGATTCAACGTAAAATCTTTTGGAACAGGTGATAAAGTTAAGCTTCCTGGAAATGCACCTGATCGTCCAAACATATATGACTTTGGAACTTCATATGATGAAATATATAATGATCTTTTATCAAAAGACAAGCAATAGTATCCTTTGTATTAAATAAATGAGTCTCCTCTTTTTTTAGAACATTTGCGAGAATTTGGGAAATAATTATTTTTTTACATTTTTATTCTTTCACGTTATTATCTCTTTGATAAGTATAATAAAGCTCATGAAATAATTAAAACTAAAATTCCTTAACCACGACATTAGTTATACGCAAAACGGTTTATTACACATGCTGGATAGAAACCGTAGAATAAAGCCCAAACCAGAACGATTTCAGTTATCCAAGGACAAATTCGACATTTTAATCACTTGTGAAGAGCGCGTTTATGATCAAGTAATTGAATGCATGGAATCTAGAACTCAGGAGGATAGTCAACCAGTACATTTGATTAACATTGACATCCAGGATAATCACGAAGAAGCTACAGTTGGATCATTTCTCATTTGTGAATTAGTCACTGTGGTAATTTCAGATTTCATTGAAGTCATTGTTATATTACTTTGTAATTATTTTTAATCAAGAAATATATTTTTTTTTCAGCTAGCAAACAGTGAGGACTTGGATAACGATATAGACGAACTACTTCACGAATTTGAGTCCAAATTTGCAAGAACAATCTTGCATACGGTACTGTTTTATTAAATAACATGCTGCATACCAAGAACTTGGTGTTCATCAACGACTTTAGTTATAAAAGCAAACTAAATTATACGTTATAAATGTACCACCACATTCTCTGACTCAGATCATGTGAAGCGAATTCCACTTTTTCGCAACAAGTAAAAATTTGATCCGCGCTTCCTATTTAACGAAATACTGCTTTCCACGGAGATCGTTTTAGAGACCTGCCATACTATATCTGTAATTCATGGCAAGATATACAGAAATAAAATTACTGGAGTCGTTCCGATTTTCGAAACACTAGTATTAGAGGGATTAAAAAAGATTGAAAAATAAAGAATACAAATTATGAAATATTTTAATTTTATAATATATACACATATAAGTACAACAGCAAACTATTCTTATATGCGTATGTATTTCATTGTTAGAATATTTGTGGTACATAGAATTTATATGAGTCTCTGATGCGTTTATAAATTCAGAGGCTTGTATATTACGAAATATTACGATTCGCTGTTATATAGCGAAAAGGCCTTCAATTCTCATAATACATTAATAAATATTCGTAAAATCAATGTTGATCAAGATGGGCGTACAATCTTCTCGTTTTTTCACGTTTCTTTTTATTTGAATGTTTATTGATCTTTTTCCACGGTTTTTCTTCAAGCAACAAATTTTGTGTGGTACCAGTTACTGATTCAATATTGCTGAAAAAATTATTACGATAATTATCAAAATATTTTAGAAACAAAATTCGTATACACGCTCTTATTATTATATACGAACAATTATTGTCAAAAATTATACAAGGATGACTTTATCAAATAATAAATATACAATAATGTTACGTACTTTGAATCAGCTCGGTACGAGCCATGCATTTTTCCAATTACTCCTTTTACATGTATATTTGAAGTATTATTTTGAAAAAATACTTTATCTAAATCTTCAGATGTAATTTTATTTCCCTTATTCACACGCACTGTTCTAGGCGGCAAATGCTTATTCACAGAAATTATTCTTCTTCGCGGAGGGAACGTATGAAAATTTTCCTGTTCTATTGTTGGTGGTGCAACACAGTACAACAATCTACCATTTACAAAATCTTTTAAAAGATATCGCGCTGAGCGTGGATTGTCTGGTTGTCCATTTTGTGTCATGAAACCTCTGTTATCTATAAGAAAAAAAAGAAAAAAATAGATAATAAATCACTTATACAAACTATCATGTACTCTTATATACAGGAATACACGAGTACATACATCCATAGGCATTTAAAATTTCCTCTGCCGTTGGTGGACGATTAGAATCTTCTCCTTCTAGCGGTGGAGGTATCATGATTCCATAAAGATCTTCTATAACATGTCTTGGTATTAAAGTACCTAATAATGTGATTGGAGGTACATGATCCCTCATTTGGTCAATTGGCAGTACACCATTTAATATCATTTCTGATTTTGTACAAACGAAACTAGGCATTACTAATCCAGGGCAATCACACAGAAGTAAATCCTTCCCCAAGAACAGTGTTTGAAAATGTTTTGTTTTACCTGGTGTAGCAGACACCGATACTTTTTTATCCAACAATAAGGCATTTATTGTGGAACTTTTACCTACATTTGGATAGCCTACTAAACCAATTGTTGTGATTCCTTTCACATACGTTTCACTCTTGTAAATTGTTTTAAAAAATGATACTAACTCATCTCTGCTTAACAATTTTGATGAATTCCTTATCTTATTATTGTTTTCTGTACTTTTCTCATCTAATTTCTCTACTGAATTTTCTAATTCATTGAAATTATATTCACTAGATCTCTTAGAGCTTATTTCCCCTACATTTTCAATTATATTATTACTACCATCATCTGCACTTTCATATTCACTTTCTGAAGCAAAATCTGAAGTGTATGAAGATACATCACTATCATCCTCTATTTCACTATCCTGTTTGTCTTCAGAATCTTCTTCCTCTATTATATCTTTCATCTTTTCATTCTCAGCTGCCAATGTTGCAGAGAAGAATGCAACCGTCAAATTGATGTCTGTAAAATATTTTGTCCATGCTTGTCGTTGTTCCTCCGTTAAAAAGTCTGCTTTATTTATCAGTATGACATTCATCTTTCTGGGATCTACTTCTTTAACATACACCTCCAAATCCTCACAGTAAAAGAGCAACGGATTTCTCGCATCAACTATCTGTACAATAACGTCACTGCGTTCTACTACTCTCCATAACTGCCTCCAAAATTCTAAATTCTTTTCATAAGGTGTCAACATCAATCCTTCTACCTCTTGCAACGTAGCAAGAGAACGTCTCCACTCTAAGAATTCTTCTCTCTCTTTGTTTTGCAATTCGTGGGCTGTAGTCGAATTGTCCCATTTTGGTCTCCTTGGTATTTTCAGGAGAGCTTTGTTCTTCCGCTGCGACTCCAATACTTTTGCTTTCTCGTCCTTCGAGAGTAACCCGATGCCGCTCTTTGGATTAACGAACTGGATGTTTAATTTCTCTGCATGAAACTCGGTCCCTGCTAACTCCGCAGTGGAGAGGAATTCTTGAAAGGAACTTTCTTCCGTAACAGATTGAAGATTAAGACGTCCCCAGTCGTAACCATCGTTTAACTCGGCAGTATGAAGCTAATAAAAAAAAAAAATACATTGTTGAAGATTATTCTTTCTCGTATACGACGAAGCGAATAGGTTATGAACTACGAACGAAACTACTTTACCATGGACGAATTAACATTTCTCTTATTTCTTGACGAGTTGAAACGATCCTTGATCAAGGTTTTTCCTAAATTACTGCCTCCTATTTTCCCTTTTTTACCCATTGTCAGTTTTATGCAACTTTAAGGAATCATAACACGAGGTTAGTCGTTGCTCAACATAGAGTTGTCAAACGTCGAAAGTAAAGCAATGGCATGAACGAAACATCAAGAATATATGTATAGATTGGCATGTATAGAATGGCATGAACGAAACATCAAGAATATATGTATGTTAATGGGATTAACATCATAAGAATTATGTATTCAAAGAAACAAAAAATCTTTCAAATGCAACTCGATGCACGATAGAATTAGAATATATATTTATGCATCATACATTTAAACTATATTTGTATGTGTGTCGATGTGTGTATATATATTTAAATTAAACCTATGCCTAATGTGTATCTATAAATCAAATCTGGGACAAAATTTTGACCAAATCGAACTTTTGCATCTTAATTCATTTTTATTAATAATTGATAGGTAAACTGTTCTGGTTCACAGTTCTCTCGACGACCAGCAACAATTATGAAACGTTCAACATGCTTCACATGCTTCTCTATTCTACTCCAGCGCGCTCAATTCTCGAAATCTTTCGGAACAAGAAAAATTCTTTCGCAAGGCAGCTTGTGAACAGTTGTTTTTTCCTTTTTTTTTTTTTTAAGTCCATTTTCCTTTTTTTTCTTTTTTTTTTTTTCCTTTTCAAATCGAAATTACATCGGTGTATTATTGATTATACTTTATATATTACAATATCCGCGACATAGATTCGCCACGCTTGGATACTATACGCGTATCACGAGCCGGGGATAAAAGAGGTTGTAGTTGCATTCGACACGAATTCATTCGCAATATTTAGAAATCTAGCCATCTGTAGTATTGATAATCAGTCGCTTTTTCTGGGGGAGGGGGGAGGAAAGGGGAGAGGGGAACGGACGTTGTTCTCTCACCAAATAAAGTCCCATCGGAGAAAAGAAAATATATACTTTCATTCAAGCACGCTAGATTTTCGAACGCTCGTTTCCGAATTTTTCCTTCTAACGCTGAGTATAAAATGGCTCGCAACGTTTCCGACATGGATCGTCGATTTTACACTCGCAATGCTTTCACAGGTTACCACCATCCTATGTAGAATTTGTTATCGATCAACTGTACAATCCAGCACGAGTAGAACTGGCATGGACGAACGGCAGTATGTTAACGTACACATAACATACAAACACTTCCGTTCCGTTAATAATCACTTCTTAATAATTATCTCTTCCTCGAATTCCTCGTGGTTGATCGCCGTCGCGTCCCCTGCCGCGGTTGTTGTACCCGCTTCTTCCCATTCTTCCCATGTTATTGTCGTTGGGACCTCGGTTCATACCGCGATTAGGACCAAGTTTATTTCCGAAATTACCAAAGTTCGAGTTGAAATTATTCGGCGGATTCTGGCCGGGGTTTTGACCACGGAAACCGGGGCCGAAACCCGGTCGGTCGAAATTTGGCGGGCCAGAGTTTGGCCCGCGAAAATTCGGCAGACCTTGAAAGTTGTTACCGAATGGTCCTTGGTTTGGTCCGAACGGAGGCAACGGGCTCGGTCTAAAATGTTGATTTGGTCCGAAGTTGCCATTCGGCGGTCTAAAGTTAGGGCCGAAGTTGCCGGGTGGCGGCCCATTAGGGCCAAAGCCGGGATGCATGTTAGGATGGTGCATCATATGCATGGGAGTGTCAATTCCTTGCATACCAGGGTGCAACGGTTTATTCTGCATAGGATGCTGAGACATGTTCGGATGTGGCACTAAACTTGGAATCGGGGGGGTCATGTTGGGATTAATATTCTGCATATTGTGGTGGCTCGACATGTGAGATATGCTGTTGCCTAAATGAGGTATGCTGTTACTTATGCCAGAGACTATGCCCAACGGCATGTTGTCGCGTTTGTCAAAGTTCCCTGAAAAACCACTGTCTCCTTTTCTGGAGCCATCGTTCATCGACTTCTCGTCGTCCCACCGCGAATTACCATCCCGGTCCCTGTCCTCGTAAATATCGTTGTCCAAAGGTTTCTTCAAAGAAAATCCGTGTGGACCTCTGAAATCCTTATCCGCGTAATTACTTCTTACGTCGTAATCGGAACGAGAACTAGGCCTTCCCGGTCCGCTGGATATGTTAAACCGTAAGTCCTCATCGCGATTCGCATTTCGGGTGTTTTCACCGTGAGGAAGCTTCCTGAGATCTTCGTCGTGTCCACTATGGAAAGAGTTGCTCTCGTTGGAGTTTTGGTTCGATTTTGTTCCGGTATACCTCAAGTCGGTATCGCTCGATTGCGAGTCCTCCGTCATCACTCCACCAAAGACCGGTTGGTGAATCTTCGACGTTCTATCACTGGCTCCACCGTCGCTCCAACCGATCAGTTGATCAAATTTCCGTTTTCCACCGCGGTTCAACGCTTTCAGCAGTTCAGGATTCTGTGCAAACTTGGAACTGGGCAAAGGCGGAGGAAGTTCGATGTCGGGGACTTTGGAATAATCGATTTCGCCGTCGTCTTGCAAATATTCTTCAGAATCGTCCATGTTATCCGGTGGACCCACAACGTCGCGTAACTCCTCTATTTCTCCAGAGAATACTAGTTTATTTATGGCATCGTTCCCTTTGCTGATTGCTTCTGCTAACTTCGAGCCAGCTGCAACATTAGCAACGATTTCAATAGTTTTGCAATTTTATTTGAAATTACGATACCGAATATTTCTGTTAACACTAAGAAATACTTACGTTCGACAGGAATCATTTTTCCGTATAGTATAATACCATTAGGCGTCACTTCATTCAACGGCACTGCTCCTGGCGTAGTTTCAATCAATTGATTCACAAATGCATTTAATGCTTCTACCTGCTCCATATCTTCAGCCTCCATCTCGTTCCATTGAGCTTGAAAATTCCTTGGAATCGGTTTGCTATATGGGACTTTTTTATTAGCAAATTTCTTTCCTTCATCGACTGCATGATCCAAGTCCAAACCAGGAATACCTCCACTTTTATCTTCTGGCTCGCCATCGGCATTGATTCTGTCTTCTGGTCCCATACCAGGTATTACAGCTGCTTCATCAGCTATAAAATAGTCAAAACAATAGTACAAGATCCAATTTCCTGAACATTAAATTATTATATAAATTCGACCCGCCGTTTCATTCGTATAAGTAAAAAATTTACTCTATTGGAAATACAATTTATGAAGCAACTTAATACTAATAACAATATTCTTATTGTTGTGTACCAATTTCATGATCATCAACACCAGCCGATCCTGCTGGCAAGGTATTGAGATTATACTTGTCCCTCATTAAATCACCAGGTCTGTTCCGCGTCCAAAACTTTGAAGTGTGATCGTTGCTACCGGAACACAAAATATGTCCCAACGGATGCCAAGCTAATGTCCAGACTATGCTGTCATGAGCTTGTTCAATCGCGCCCACTTCCTTGTCAGCTCTAAAAATTAATTATAATATGAACAACGTAATTATAAATAAAAAATAATATTACAAAAGGAAAAGGAAAGTTGGTGAAGCATACCCAACGTGCCAAAATAAAATAGCTCCGTCGCTACCACCGCTACAAAATAGACCCTCGTGACTTGGATGCCATGCGACGCTAGAAGCTTCTTTTTTGTGACCACGAAATGTTTGAACTTCTTGACTTAAATTTCGAAGATCAAACAACTTGAGCAAATGGTCCCGTGATGCGGTTACTAGCCAATTTCCATTTTCATTCCATTTAACATCCATAACTGTTGACTTATGTGCATGTAACGTTGCAAGAGACTGACCAGTTTTTGGATCCCATAATTTCACTGGTTGCTGATTGTCTTTGCTTCCAGAGATGACTAGACTTTTTTGTGGATGCCAGTGTACACACTTCACATCAGCTCCATGACCTAAACAATAATTAGATGAATTTCAAATTTATTACAGTTTGGTACCAATAGTGATACATTAGTTACTTGTTGAAGCTATGAGTAATAAATAAAAAAATAAATAAAAATACTTTTATTCCAATGTTATATAATAAATAATGTACCCCTGAGAATTCGTTCTTCATGACATCGAAGAAAGTCCCAAATTCTGACTGTTCCATCATCACTGCATGTTGCCAATTTGTGATCCGTTGGACTGAAACTACCCACCCAAAAAACAAGTGTTATATTCAAACAATACGCTGTTATATATTTATAGAGTGATTCTTTATTTGCAAATGCTCACAATGAGAATTTTTTGAATGAAACAAGTACCACAACATCATAAGACGTATAATACACATTTTGCATTTATTATTTCATGTAGGCACATGTATAAAATAATAGATAATAAAATAGTAATATAGTATGATGAAAGATTGATTACACATTAAGCTTTATTAACTTTATTGAAGTTCTATCTTTGTACAAATGCAATATATTCAAAGTGGAAGGAGATAGAATATGAAAAGTTTATTATTATTCAATAGAACACCTCAAACATATGGTACACCTTACGGACATTATTATGATATGACATCAAAATATGATCGTTAGAAATTGAAGTTAGAGCATATAATAGCTTACATTTATTACTGATTTGTCATTTTGTTTATTAAATAAATACTACACATGCAATACATGTTTAAATATATACACAAATGTATGACCAAGCAAAGAATATTATAAATATTTCTCTTCTTTTTATAGTACCATCTGCTAAATAAATTATGTATTTGTATATCTACACATGCATCCTTAATGAGTCCTAAATATATTATGTAGAAATTGAAATTAACTAACGAGCCTGTAAAGAATAATTTTCAAAAAAAAATTACTTAAATGAAATGCATAACAAGCTACTATCTATTATATGATTGCTAATATCCTCTTCATGTATGAAATTTTCTAAGTTAAATATACATTATATATGTGTGAAAATATGTATGACAACGCGTAAAAATACATGAATAAATTGGGTCAGCTTCAAAAATTATTCACATATCAATAATGTAGTCTAAGAACACGCGTAGCGGACTGTTACTTTGAATTCGTCTCAAGGAATAGACAGACATCAGTAATAAAAGGAAGAACTATGTGTAAATATTGTAAATAAACAAAAAACCATCTTCGACAGTCATATCTGGCACTCAAACAAAATTCATTGCTGATCAAGCAACAAACTTTTCCATTGTCATGAAAGTAGAATCTCTTTTTGATGCCACATGACTACCGAGTGATATACCAAGAGTAATATTTTTTCAAAAGTTCAACATTTATTGCACAAAAAAAATGTCCGAAGTGTACATGAAATTCGTTATATCTCTCTGTTACTCTCTCTCTCTCTCTCATCTGCAAAAGGGCACAAGTGATACAGACCAAAAGAAAATACTTTATTTTTATTTTCAGAGACATATGGTACTGTAACTGTCTTTATTTAACTTTATTGAAAACTTGGATGATGTAAAGAAGGACAGAGGATATTTATTTTTATTATAATTCCATGGGAATCTCGACTAGGTATTGCTGTATATTTCTTTGTTTATTCTTCATTCTAAATATACACATCTTGCCCAATGATCTGACCATATAAATTCCATAAACTATGAGCCATAAGGACCTAATTTCTTTTTTCCTACAATTTGTTTTATTTTTTTTTTTTTCCAAGCCTTACTACGTAAAAATAATAAGTTTATACTATCGTAATCTGGTGGACCGTGTAGATTCATTTAGGTCCCTAAGACTCTATGAATACAGGTAACAAGTTTCATGTTAATATACACGTACAATATATTTAGCAGAGAAATTTACACTATCCTTGCTGATCAACCTTGAATTATTACGATTTACGGAAATGTAAAAAGTTATCACAGTTTTGAGAAACTATTGGTTATTTAACTTTAATAAAAAGTTTAATCAAGCAAAAACATCTGCAGCTACTTGTGATTGTATTTATAATGGTATTAAAGCACATCAAATCTTTTCTTTTTTAATATAAAGCCTAGTTAAATGTGACAATTAAATATCAAAATTAAATGTAATAAGAACACTTTAATAAGAAAAAAAAAAATCAGTTTATAGCAATGTGAATATCGCCATAGGGAATGTATTTTTATCAAAGATGAAATATCTCTTATACAAGATATCAAATATCAGTAAATCTTTCAAGTACAATTTATAAAAAATTCTAGAAATCACCTGTGTACCCATACAAGAAGTGATGTTTTGAAAACAAAAGTGTTGAAAAACCAGAAAAGGAAGAGAATGAGAGTCATGTCCAATATCTTAACTACAGCAAGGATGGACGGATCATCGATAACAGTGGCGCAAGAGACGTAAGGACTAGTGTGGTGGATGGTATACCTGAGTCCTCTAATCGCTTCTTTGTGCGCCTGAAACATCTTGACGTTGTTCATATTGCTCTGCCAATACTTCACATAGCCTGCATGATCTCCCGTGACCATCCAACTCTCATTGTGTGACCACACCATTGTTCTCACTGGACTATCATGTGCCTAAACAGACAAAAATCATATGTTTGATTAATATATCTGAAATTTACGTACATTCTAAAGAGAAATTGACACAACGGAAATCTAATTTTTAATTTTTGGAAATTTGGTTCAGAGTTTCTTATTTATACATATCATTTTTCATTGAAATCACAAAATCATAAATTGATAATAAAACAATACTAATTGATCATTTAACAATATTGCAAGGTCATAATAGGTGCGAAACGATATTAAATAACATTCGATTTAATTACTAGAAGAAAAGATACAATAAAAAGTAAAAAATACCTGTAGAATAGTTTCAAAATTAAAGGTAAGACCATTCCATAAGGTGAATTCCCCACTGGATGCACCAGTGACAAGACGCCTTCCCTCTGGTGTCCAAGCCATACAAAATATAGGACAACGCATTTTATTTGTTGCAGTCTTTACAAATCTTGTAGTAACTGCATTTATTGGATTATCAACATAACTGGGTGGTGGAAGTAGATCAGGATAATACATCACATCTGGTTGAAGGGCACGTCTATCTCTATAATCTCTCTGCCATACTCGATTCTACATACAAAATAGACAATATTATTATTCATTGCTTGACTTACGAAATTCCAGAAATCAACCTGAAGATCCTACCTCCAAACTCTTTATAATAGCAGAATTATAGTCCACAGTTTTGCGCATAACAGATTTTCTAAGTCTTTTCCCATCAAATTCATCTTGTAGTGTATCTTGACCAGCCGCAACAATTTTAGGTGCATGATAAGGTCTGAATGGTTTAAAGAAACCCCTTGCTCCATCTCTGTGGTTGGTGTATCGATGTTGGTAACTTCCAGATGTGTTTATGGTAGTCAAATTAGGTGGTGGAGCTGACAAATTTGGAGTTGTAGGAGGTGGCACAGACATATTAGGTAAACTTATGGCCGGCGGGGGATTTGCAAATTGAGTATTTGCAGACATAACAGCAGTTGTGAATTCTGTAAACAAACACAAAATACATTCCTCGTTATTGATTCTGTAAATAAAAAATACATTCCTTATTACAAAATTCTTTATACAAAATAGCTGTGACAATATTTATTCTTTGTTAATGTTACATGTGACAGATTTCCAAGTTACAACTTCAATTCACATATGGCATGCCATAGCCTGTTAGATTATCTAACAATTGAATTCTGACTTGACTGTTTGCACAATTTATCGCGTTAAGAGAAGAAGACTGGGTAAATTTCAATAAATCAACAATAATTTTTCGCAATATGTGAAAATGTCGCTCGAATTTCTTCTAACAAAGGTATTCTTTTGCTTTTACTGTTAAAAGTTCGAAATTCCTCTCAATGATATAGCACGGTAGTTAAGTATATGATAAACAGGTATAAAACCTATTTCTATCAGCAACGAAATGTTAATAAAGGTTATACGAATTATGTTCCGGGAGGGTGCGATGAATTCAACAACAATTACTGAAAACCCTCGGTTTTTCGAATGGGAAGCGAAGCCTTATTTACAAACATTGATAAACAACCTGCTCATTAATTGTGAACAAATATCCGTCGATGATGTTGCACTGCGAAACGCTTGTCACATCTCCCGAACGTGCGTGGACCGAGCGAGTGGCGGCAGTTCAGCCCGCCACCGCCAGATGTCTAACAACTATGTCGCTAGTAGTCACTCCAGTTTCTCTTCCTATACGCTCTAACGTCCCGTGCAGCTAGAGCCAACAGTGGTCGCCAGCAGAAGTTCTACTGATGAGTCTGACTGGGTGGTTCCGTAATGAAACACGCCTTTCTTTTCCGTTCCATTCTTCCTCTTTGTTCCACTAATTATCGCCACGTGCCCACGTCTTTGCACAACTGCGCAAATGAAGGAGCAAGCCAAAAACGAAAGATTCAATGTTTCTTCTCGCGTTTTTTTTTCTCTTTTCTTTTCTTTGAATTTACGATATTTACACGATGTCACTTGTTTCCACCATTCATGTAAAAAGAAAAAAATATTTTCCAAGTAATAAAATGAAGCACACGAAAGTATTATTTGCGTTATTACGTCGGTGAAATACTGGCAAAAACTTCGCGTTTTACTTTTGTGCGAATCGAAACACAACGGGCAGACAGTATGAAAATTGTGTATCCCCTATGGACGCCATTACTCTTTCAGACGATGACATCCGTTTCTTTCGCATCCACTTCCGACGGTAGCTTCGGTAAATAAATTGCGGCAATAAACATATACTGACAGCACCTTGCACGTGGAATAAATGGAAGTACACGCGCATTAAGTCAACGTCCTCTTCTTTTTTTTCTTTTTAACAACGGAATGCGAATTTTTAATTTCAAAAATTAATAGGGAATTTAAAAATTTTCAACTTTAAAAATCCTAGGAATTTAATATACAAGAAATATTATACTTGATATTACGTCCGGATCTACTATTTCTTTCTATTTTGTATCCTTACAATAAAATAAATAAAATAAAATTCTTACAATAACGTTTATTTAATTTTATTTAATCCTGTAAGAATTAGTATTATTTTCGAGGAAGAGCTTTACTGAATCTAGCATTTTTAATTTATTTATTAAAAATATTTCGCGATAACTAATAATACACTAAACATTCGAAATTATTTATTGGGGAATTTTAACTAAAATTACAAAAACACGAGATAAATTCGTCATTAATTCAAAATTTGCTGATAGATGTCGCACGAAGCAATGATTACAAATTTTCGACGAACATTCGAGCAAAACAACACAAGTTGTGTAAAATTTGTAATAGAAGATATAACAAGAAAGTATAAATCATGGATAAATGTGCCATAATCAAGCTTCCTCATCATCTACAACAAAAACTGTGTTATACACGACCATTATACAGGCAAGGGAAAAAATTAACGTCTGTAAAGGTAGCAAATTTGTATCCTATCCTACACAAAAATTATGGTTAATAAAATGATATTTAAAATTACTTTCTTATATTACTTTAACATGGTGTAATATAAATTGACAATGTATTTTTACACACAACATGGTGTAATGTATTTTTTCAAAAACCGTTTAATGAATGCCTTTAAATTACAGTAAATTGAAATTTATAAATAATTTTATTTGAGACAGTTCATTTTGTAGTCTTCTTTATTTTTGTTTTTTCTTTACAATATTTCCTTGACACGCCAGCTCTATGTAACAGGTTTATACAATAAATGATGAATCGAAACATTTGATGATATGTGGAGTGCCTAAACTCCAATTAGGTGAAGAAGTGAGAAAACTTGTTGAACCTTATGGTACTATTAAAAACATATACATAGTACCTGATTATCCTACAGAAGAATTTACAGAAACGTATTACGTGCTATATGTTCATATACAAAGTGCAAGGTTTTATATCCTTTTATATTTTATTAATGTGATCTTATGCAACTGAATTTTTCTAATAAGATAATGTTTCACGTTGTACATCATATAGAATAGCAAAGCGGTACGTTGATTGTAAAAATTTTTATGGTGGTTCATTGCATGTTTTTTATGTACCTGAACTTGAAAGTATCTCAGACACCAAAGAAAAGCTTCTACAACGTCAAAAAGAAGTAGCTATACGTATAAAGAAGAATCAGAAAGATATGTTGAATCCCAATGTTGATCAATTTCTTCCAAAGTATGTAAACAAATTAGTGCCTGGTAATATAAAAGATTTGGCTTGTTACATTACAACTAAATAACAATTTTCAGAGAACAGTATAACAGAAGAAAAAGAACCCCTGCTTTACCATTGACAGAGGAGCGACTCCATCAACAGTATCCTGGAGAAACATTAGTTTCTATTTATGATGGTATACCACAAAGTTTAGACCCAAGAACAGTATGTGAACCTAGTTTATCATCAATCTCATCCGAATATGAAAAAAATGCTGGGTCGATTTTATCACAAACTGCATGTCATTTAACTGGAGCTAATATTCATGCAAGCAACTCTCAAAGAACCACATCGAAATCAGATTCTACGGCAAACAAAAGAAAAAATTACAAAGGACAGTCTATCAATACTAATGTTAAAGTTAGAATTGTCAGGCCACAAATTGTTGATACAAGTACTATAGTGAAACGAGATATCTCAAATAAGAATGTATTTTCTAGTCAAAAAAAGGTAGAAAATAATATAACTATTAAGTTAATACCAAGAAATGATAATGAGAAAAAAAGGATTGTAATAAAAAATCCAAGGTACAGTGCGTATTTAATTTTATGTTAAATATTACTTTCATAATAAATTATAATTATTATATTATTATTTTTAGCGTATCTCAGTTGATACAACCAAGTGAAAACTTACAATCGTCAATTTATAAAGCCAAGTTACAAATACGAGCAGCTATGCAAATGAATAATAAGGAAAACCCATAACTTTGATGAGTGGTCCGGTGCTACTCAGGAAACAGCCAAGAAGTGGATAACTGAGCGCTGGGAAGAGTAGGAAGAATCTTCCTGATAGAGGGCAAAACCAAGAGTTCGTCAAGAATCTCTTCCCATAACTTTGTATGAAAACAAATAATAAAAAGAAAAATTTTATTGGAAAGATTATTTGTTCTATATTAAATAACTACATATTATTGCAATTGATTTACAATTATGTATATAATTCATTTTTACAATTATTTGAGTTTCTTAAAAAGATATTTGTAAAAAATGCAAACTATATCTAAATTTTTTATATTATAAAAATAATTCTAAATAATAACTGTAGAATCTGAATCCCACTGCATATCATTTAATTTCGACTTTGTAATATATCTTTTGTGTGGTGAGGTATTTTCTTGCGATACTTTTGTGACAGTACCTTTGTTTTTAAATACTTGTGGTGACTTTGTTAATAATGTTTGCACTTGTTCATTATTTGAACGAATTCCGAGTGGTGTTCGAACCTGAAAATAAAATTTAAACAATTTGCAATAAAGTATAAGGATTTTCATTTCTGTAGGAATAATTGTTAATTCATTAAATACCTTTGCACTTCTATTTTTATCACTTAGATTAAAAAATTTGTTTTCATCTGTTGTAATTTTGATGTCTGATTTACGGCTTTTCTTCTTTTTTCTTACTGCATTGATTTTTGCATTTTCGTTTTTTGAATTAGCTAATTCTATTATGCTATCATCATCAAATGTTATAATTACTTCTTCTTTAAGTGCTTGCGGTATCTTCTCCTCAATAATTTGTGCATTGTCCGAGTCATTTGTTTTTAATTTTTGAGGTTGATCCAATACTGATGGATCTTTCCACACTTTAATTGTATCACTTAACATACATTTTGTTTGGTCTATACTTTCATTAACATGCACATCATTGCACTTATCCTGTTCCAAGATTTCTTGAAATTCATCCTGGTCTTCCAATTTTTCCTCTAGTAATATAAATATTTCTTTGTTAGATACAAAAAAATCTCCAATTCTAAAGTAACTTTGAATTAGTAACAGTAATTTCTCACCTGCTGAAATGCACTCAGTTTCAGATGAATAACTAGAACATCGTGATTTAGAGTCACTGGATTTGTCATCGTCATTCTTAATAACCAGGTTTAAAGACTCTGTTGCTGATGTAGTCAAATCAGGCAGAGCTTGTATTTCAGTTACACCGAATCGTGATGACAATTCACAGTATGAAAATTTTTGACAAAACATATCTGTATCATAACTACCATGTCTATGCAAATAATTTTGAGACCTTGCTCTTAAACGTTCTATAGATTTTGGCAATAAAATTGGTGTTCTGTCGAAATCTGCTGCTGGGGATCTGGGATCAAGTCCCAAGATTTTGTAACGTTCCTCCTCTATATCTGTAATTGTCTTTTTATCATGTAAATTATTAGTTGTCGGTGTTAAAAAGATATCTGCATCTTCAACCTGAAATAGTCAAGTAAGTTTTACAAATTACATTAAAAAATTGAAATTTCTAAACTATGTAGTGGCACAAATAATTTACTACTTTTGGCAGTTGTATTTTTGAAGTGTCCATTATTTTTGGCATGAAAGGTTTCTTCGGAGTTAAGCAAAGCATTATTTTATCCATGTCTGTTTCCAAATATTGTGCAGTTTGTAAATGTCTTGGGATTGCTGATAATCTTTTATTTACTCTAACTGGTGTACTATTTACCTATGGATATCACAAACTTTGCATATTATTTACTATTATATAACTAAAAATCTGCATGAAATCTATGTTAAAATTACCTCTATTGGTGTTCGAGTTATTCCACTTGTTATTGATCTGGGATCAATAATTGATGTTTTATGAATTATTGGTGGAGTTTGCATGATGTCTTTTTCTACAGTTACTTCATCAATAGGCGATGGATGTTTTATTTCTTCTTTTTCCACTTCATTGTTAGAAATCTCAGTATTGTGAATAAAAAATTTGTTAATATAATTTCCCATTATTGTATCTATTTTTTTTTTCATACACCTAGAATTTTATGAATAAATTATGAATACAGTTATATAATTATATTTAAATAAACATTCAAATCATCTGTTTAGATATACAATGGGGGCATTAGCATGTGTCAATCAACATTTTAAAAACTATTTATTAAGAATTTAATGTGTGCTTGATTTAAAACTTGGGTTTACCTTAGAATCAAGTTTATTACTTCTGATTCCTATTTCTACTTTGTAATCAAATTTACAATTACAGTTGTACCACTTATAGTCAAATTTCTTTAAAACACAGTGAAACTCCGGGAACTGTTATAAGTTCAAACTTAAACGTAGTATGTAATTCATCTTTGAAAATTCAACTAACCGAATGACGAAGTCTTGCCAACTTCTTGATCATCAGTCTTGTTGCTTTAAACAAGGATACCAATACATGAACTCTATTTTGTATATTTTTTTTATATATATTTAAATAATATGTATCCGAAAGCAACAAGCAACGTTATGATACATTACAATTCCTTTTAACAAATGTGCGAATTTTATATTGAGCACGAAATTTGTTGTAATCATCACAGATCAATGTAACTACATCTGTGGCTGTTAATGTGTATGTACGTATTAATGTGTGCGATTCAATGGGATTTATATCGTTTGCTGAACTGCAACTCTAATCACATTGTAAATATGAATAGAAGCAGTTTATCATAAACCGTGTATGACAGAATACATAAATGTAAATAAGTAGCAAGCTAATGATATTACATCTTTTTTAGGTTACTGGTTTAATAAGACAAATGTCTAAAAGCTAGGATTGTTGACTCTAATTTTGATTATTGTATTTAAAGTCAATAAAGTCTTTCTAAAAAAAATTCTCATGTCTGAATATGCAAGCATGTCATTCACTCTAAGTCCAGAAGAGACCTGTAAAAATGATATGGTCCAAATGCAATCTATTAATCTCGTTTGTCCAGTGTGTGATGCTGGATATATAAATAAAAATGAATTTTACGATCACTTAAGTATACATGCTGGGGATGTATTGTTAAAACACGTGGAATGCTTAAAAAATGCAAATAATGAATTAGATACAGTGCCAAGAGAGTCTATCCCCAAAAAGATCGATGAAACTATATTGAGACCTTTCAAGTGCCAGCAATGTAGTTTAACATTTGACAGAGCTTCTCAGTATGACTATCATTATCGCAGTATACATCTTGGTGAAAAATCGCAGCTCTGCGAGATCTGTGGTAAAGGTTTCTTTCGCAAGGCAGATCTGAGAACACATTTGAACATTCATTTAGGCACAAATGTTTGCATTTGCGAGATTTGTGGGAGAAAGTTTAATCACATATCCAATCTAATTAGACACTGCAGAATGCATGCTGGTAGTTACATTTTCTGAAAAATAAAGTAACAAGTAACAAGCGAAAAATCCAAGTCTGACATTATGAATTTTTAGGAATAAAATTGTATCCATGTTCCATTTGCGGAAAACGTTTTACTCAGATTAGTTCCATTACAAGGCACAAACGTATTCATGAAAGAGCAAAAGATGATGTTAAACTTCATACGCAAACTAATTCCAACAATTGTAACTTACAGAAAAAAGATCATGCGATATACAAAAATAAGGTGATGAGCAAATGTAGTATTATGTAATATCCTTTGAATATAAGTGTATCTTACTGTAAATGTACAGTTTGTTGAAGGTAATGCACCTACTCAGCAAAAGATTGTTAAGAGACAACATTACTGTAAAATTTGTGGTGAAAGTTTCAATTTCATCTTTCTCTTAAGGGAGCATGAAAAATCCCATTTGCAAATTTTGGAATGCAAAGACCATGAGGTGGTAAGAATTTTGAAAGTAATATTCAAGAACTATATGTTTTTGACCTATTTCTTTCATTTAGAATTTTCAGAAAGCTACAGAACTGAAAGAACAAACACAGCATGTTAATAATTTTGACTTTCTTGAAAATGAAACAGATATGAAAAAAGCTTTGCCATTGGATGCAATTATTTATATCACGTCAGAACAGGTAAATATTTTACTGTTTTTAATGTTATTTATCACTTAAAAATATTTCTTATATATAATTGATTTTTTGTATGGAAAAAGTTGAAGAAGATCAATTTAGAAAACATTGAAGATAATAGAAATCACGTTTCACAAGAAGATCTGTGTGAAACAAAAATTTTAGGAGATGAAGAATTAAACGTTTCAGAGAAGATGGCATTTAACAGTGAACAAACTCAACTCGTTCATGATAATCCACTTTTATTATGTAAATCTAACGATTCCATAGAAAGTGAAAATGTATCATATGTTTGCCCATTAGATGAGAATATTCTTAAAGATAAATTGTGCGTTCAAACGTGCGAGACGGATTTAGAAAAATCCGAAACAATATCGAGTTACAACACCCTAATGAATACTCCTCTGAATGTTGCTGATTTGTTTCAAAAAATAGATCTGTCAGAATCTAATAGTAACGAAGATCTTAATTCCGATCCAAGTATACATAAAAATGAAGAAACTTTAGTACAAAATGAAAAAATATCCGATGATTTGAGCGACATAAATAATATCGTGAATCACGATGAACCAATGTTGCGTTTAGTACAAACAGAAACAGGGGAACAATTTTATGAATTTCTAATTAACAATTTAGTTGAAAAGTTGCCGAATTCACAAATTATTGAGTCTACGAAAAATTCTGAGAGCAAAGACGATAGTACAAATATGAACGAAGAAAATCACGAAGGGCAGAGTATACGAGATGACATACATAACGATTTAAATTATTCGCAATATGAACTGCAAGGTGAAGAAAAAAACTTTACAAATCAAATTCTATTAGACACGCAAAGTGATTTCGATAAGTACGTCGAAACAAATTTCGAGGTATTCGAAAGATTAAATTACGATGACAGCCCCGAGCGATTTCTTGAATTTGTTGAATCCGGACTTGAGAATCAAAGCTCGAAAATTTCGGACTTCAGCAAAGAGAGTGACGAATTCTTACAGTTTCAGAATTTTACCGAAATTGATACTGTAGAACCAAATGAGAAAGATAGTATTATTAATGACAATAATAGTAATAATCAAATTATCGAGATAGATGAGAAACAAAAGCAGAATGAAGATGTGACGAATAGTAATGAAAAACTGGAGGATGAACAAGACTCGAAGAAGTCGAAAACATTCTTGATAAAGTTTCAATGTACAGTGTGCGAAAAATCATTTTCAACTAGTTACAATTACAAGCAGCACATAGGTACGCATTTCGCGGACCAGCAAAAATTTCATTGTAAAGACTGTAAGTTGTCCTTCGCTTGGAAATCAACGTTAAACAAACACATTGCAAATAATCATAGACCAGATGGTCCACAGAAGTTTGCATGTGATATATGTAACAAAATTTATAATACCTCCTCGCAAGTAAATGTGAGTATTTTAAAGGATATCTTTTTTTGATTATTAAACTCTACTAATGTTACGAAAGATTATTAAACTCTACTAATGTTACGTTAAATGACAATGATAGTTATTTTGATACAGGAGCACGTGAAGCGAGATCATCTGAAACAGCGGAACCATGTTTGCTCTCAGTGCGGCAAATCATTTTTTAAAAAGTACGATTTGAAAATACACAATAGAATTCATACCGACGAACGACCGTACGTTTGTCGCGCTTGCGGGAAAAGATTCCATCACCGAAGTCACATTATTCGTCACGAGCGCATACATTTCTAGGTGCTAAGGGCGTATCTATAAGTTCACATTTTATTTCAGTTCGAGGCATAGGGAAGCGTAGGGAACAAATTATAAAAAAAAAAGAATCACAATTATAATTACCTTACAATAGAATAATTACAATTATATAATCGAAATTAATTTCTATTAATAATTCTAATAGAAATTAACGACGATGCTGTTCTATTACATGATTTACATTATAATATGCATTGAATGTGCAACGGCAATTAATACGTGTTACAAAGCATTTAAAATACGTTTTTGTAAATGATTATTTTTTAATAAAACAGAAAACGCTAACGCTTCATTTCCTCAATTCCTCTTCTCGCTATTTACATTAAAATGTAGATCAAGTAGAAAAGTTTGAAGAAATTGATTTGTATTCTTATTCATTGTACCTTCATAGATAGATTAGAAACATCGTGAAAGTTTCGAGTCAGTACGTAAGCATTTACTTACACATGTGCAATAAGCAACTCTGATTTCAACTTCAACATGGTCGACGTGTGCGACGACGTGGTGAATATCATGGAAAATCTGAGTGTTAAGGAGGATAAGGCACGAATACAATTTATATTTGATAAAATCTTTTTATTATTTTCATTTTTAGCAATAAAATATGTTGACGACTTTGCGTATTTGCAGTTATAGAAACCTTTACAATGTTTCCAAGCGGACACATGCTTGGGTTGGTTATAAAATATACTACTATTTCGATATCATATAATAATGTGCTGCGTTTTGAATTTTTATTTGTATTTTAATATTTACTGCTCAAATTACACATTAATATAATGTATATTATGTCGTATATCGGTCATGTGTATTGTTAAAATCGATAATCTGATGCAATCTGACCATATACATTTTAACAATTGTATTATTTCCGCGAATGGATTAACCTCGTATTTTCTAAAATTAATAAAATAATGACAAATATTTGCGATAATCTAAATGATTTTTTTTTAATTTGACATTAGAAAGCAAAGAAAAAGATTGCCGCCACTGAGGAAAGGACTATTTCTGAATTAAATCCGTGGCCAAGTTATATTCAAGTATGTTAATTTTCTTACATTTAAACAAATGAAGTCAAAAAATTCAATTCAAATGTTCTTTTGAATAATTACTTTTTCAGGATCGTATTGCATTATGGGATAAACTTAAAGCAGAGTACAATGCATCATTAGCCTCGAAAACAGTTACTGACATAAAAGTAACTCTCCCTGATGGGAAGGAAGTTGTAGCTCAATCTTGGCGTACTACGCCATATGAAATTGCCAGAAACATTAGTCAAGGTCTAGCAGACAGTGTTGTCATTGCAAAAGTTAATAATGAACTGTGGGACCTCGACAGGCCTTTGGAGTCTGATTGTAAACTCGAACTTCTTAAGTTTGACCATCAAGATGGCCAGCAGGTATTTTGGCATTCTAGTGCGCATATTTTAGGAGAGGCAATGGAAAGAGTATATGGTGGTTGTTTATGTTATGGTCCGCCAATAGATAATGGTTTCTACTATGATATGTACTTAGGTGAAAAAGGAATTTCTAATTTGGATTTCCCATTCTTGGAAACTATTTACAAAAAAATAGTTAAAGATAAACAACCATTCGAAAGATTAGAAATGACCAAGGAAGATCTCCTGGAGATGTTCAAATACAATGAATTTAAAGTTCGAATTATCAATGAGAGAATACATACTCCAACCACTACAGTGTACAGGTGTGGTCCATTGATTGATTTATGCAGAGGGCCACATGTTAGACATACTGGAAAAATTAAGGCCATTAAAATTACCAAGGGTTCCTCTGCTTATTGGGAAGGAAATGCCAATGCAGAGTCTTTACAAAGAGTTTATGGCATCAGCTTTCCAGATACCAAACAACTGAAAGAGTGGGAAAAGTTTCAAGAAGAAGCGGCGAAACGAGATCATAGGAAAATAGGAAAGGAGCAAGAATTATTCTTTTTCCATGAACTTTCCCCAGGATCGTGTTTCTTTCAACCACGCGGGGCTTATATTTATAACACTTTAGTTGAATTTCTTCGTTCTGAATACAGAAAACGTGGCTTTCAAGAAGTAATTACACCCAATATTTATAACAGTAAATTATGGCAAACGTCCGGTCACTGGATGCATTATGCAGAGAATATGTTCTCCTTTGATGTTGAGAAGGAAACTTTTGCGCTTAAACCAATGAACTGCCCTGGTCACTGTATGATTTTTGACGTTCGTATCAGATCTTGGCGCGAATTGCCATTGAGAATGGCAGATTTCGGGGTGCTGCATAGAAATGAATCAGCTGGTGCACTAACTGGACTAACCAGAGTCAGGCGTTTTCAACAAGACGATGCGCATATATTCTGTTCAGTTGATCAAATTAAAGACGAAATGATTGGCGCGCTTGATTTCTTGAGACACGTGTATTCCGTATTCGGTTTCACGTTTAATCTATGTTTATCGACGAGGCCTGAAAAATACATGGGAGACTTAGAAATGTGGGATCAAGCTGAAAAAGCGTTGGCAGAGAGTTTAGACGCGTTTGGAGAACCGTGGAAGATTAATCCAGAGGATGGTGCATTTTACGGTCCAAAAATCGACATAACAATTATGGATGCACTTAAGAGAGCTCATCAGTGTGCTACTATTCAGTTAGATTTCCAATTACCAATTAGGTTCAATCTATCTTATGTCAAGTAAGTAAAACTATTTTAAATTAATCTTGCGATGTAAATTGAGAAATTGATGCAAGTTAATTTAAATTGAAATTTTTTGATTTTAGCGAATCCGGAGAAAGAACGAGACCGGTAATTATTCACAGAGCCATTTTGGGTTCTGTAGAAAGAATGATTGCGATTTTAACAGAATCGTATGCTGGAAAATGGCCGTTCTGGTTGTCCCCGCGTCAAGTAATGGTTATTCCAGTATGCTCTCAGTTTGATGATTATGCGGAGCAAGTAAAAGATAAACTTTGGGACAGTGGATTTATGGTAGAGCTTGATACAGATCCAAGCGATACTCTGAACAAAAAGATACGAAATGCTCAAGTCGCTCAATTCAATTTTATTCTTGGTAATAAATGTGCATAATAATATCCTGTGTATCATATACTAAAATACTAACGTTTAATTGATACATAAACATATTTTTAGTTGTTGGAGAAAAAGAACTTAACGCTGGCACAGTAAATGTACGAACGAGAGACAACGTGGTGCATGGGGAAATTCCGGTTGATGATTTGATTGCAAAATTCAAAGTATTCAAAGAGAGGAAGGATAAAAACTGCGAAGAGAAATTCTAAATAAGCTTTGTATACGGACAGAATATTTATTTATTTCCAGATTATAATTCCGGTAGGATCAAGTGTAATGTAGATCGACAGGATCTAAAATCACGTCTTTTAAATATATCGGAAGAAACTACTGTTACTAAGATAACCGTATAAAAGTGTAAGATGATTGTTTTGCATTTGATTAATTTCAATTAGTATCTAAACTTTGATACAACGTCAAGGTAGAAATAGAAAATATATAAGAATCTGTATCAAATTTTAACTTATCAATTCATGCATTTGTGCTTGTAAAGTAATTCTGTCTTAAAAATTTTCCCTTTTATTAACTAGATTTTTTTTTTTATTGAAAAAACGTGAATATGTCGCTTTATATAAATTAAATATAAATTAAAAAATACGGAATATACAGTTAACTTACTTAATTTGTTTCAGCTTTGTCTTTTATTTAGTTACTTGAGAATATTTTTACGATTAATGATCTTATTCGAAAGCTACAAATAATTTCTCATTTCTCGCAGTTTTATAGCTGAAACATTGAGTGTAACTCGAAATATTCATCTCAACGGCTGTGCTCCATAATTTATTGCAGATACTGTCAATATATAATATATTGCTGTAACTGCGCCAGTATCTTTTGGAAATAAATTACCGCTGTAAACTATAAATCACATCGACGCAGATGACGTATTGTTGTCATTAAAAATCTCTCACAATAAAGTAGTATCTTCAATCAAAGTTGTTTTTATTTGACTAATAATTGAAATATTGTTTGAATAAGCAATAAATGTTAACTAATTTGCTAATATATTATAATTAACTATTATAATTAAAATAAAAACAAATTTTTTTCTGTTGTATGTTATAAAGTAACGAAAATAATTATGAGAAGAAACAGTGTAATAAATTAAATTAAATTTTGTAAATGTAAATTTTATATAAGTTGCAAATTATGAAAAATTCGCAACTCGCTAATATTATTAATAAATTTAACAAATGATTATTAGTTAATAAATATTCAGATACTAACAAAACTATAGTATAGGTTGTATTTCTTAGTTATATCTTATCTATGCAAGTATCTCTGACTGGAACGAATGCGCATGCCCGAAAATATGGAGCTTCACTTCCGACGAGAATAGCAAGCGGCAAGCATAGAAGTCGGGAGAATGACAGCCATTACAATCTCGCCGGCTGCACAAGGAATTATTCAAGTTGTAAGTGAAAGTAACTTGTGTAAAATCGAAGGGTACGTGTTTTTCTTTTTCTGAACTATAAAACATAAATTATAATCTCGATAGGATGCAAAACTTTACGTTGCTACTATTGATTTCCTTGCAGCTTCCTCAATGACACCGCGTACAGGGAAGCCATTGAAAACTCGTCGAACTATAACAGCCGACTCTGCAGGGAACGACGCTTACGTATGCCTTTCCTTGATTCGCAAACAGGTATTAGTTATCATAATTTTTCTATGGAATTTTTACCCAATTAATATGATGTACAACGTAACGATAGTTCGTTCATATTCTTAACCTGGGATTACCCACCTGGGGATCTAGCGCAGGTACATCCTGGCGACTAGACCCCCACGTGGGTAATCCCGGGTTAAGGCTTTTGCTTGCCCGAACGACCGTTAAATATGATTGATCAAAATGTTTTTGTTGAAATTTTTTTTTTAAATTTCTATGTAACTGAAAGAAGATATTTGAAATAGTCATACTCCGAAATTGTTCATTTAAAAATGATAGGTACTAATGTAAATATACGTAATTAGTATAGTTACCAAAAAATGACAATTATTGCTGTTATTTAATTATACAAAATTGTAGGCGTGGCACAGAATCATTCCGCATTGTTTATGTCTCCGAGAGAAAGGCTACCGGGTTTATTACACGGACAGATATATACATATCCTAGTAAAAGATGGAGAAAAAAGCGGCGACAATATTTGATGCATTATTTGCATCCAAAAAGAGGACCAAGAGGTGACACTGAAGATGGTAATGAAGGTATAGAGACTGTAACGCATGTAAATGATGATAGCAAAGATTCAGTGGCCCTTAAAGGTAATAATAATATTAAATCGTTAATGGAATAAAGCGGAAAAATTAATTTCACCTGTTACAATGAGATGTATTAATTTAACGCAGATGAACATAGTAAAGATGCATGGTACTATGATGAGCAAGACATGTTAGATATGGACACATATGAGGAACCTGATGCTGAGAGCGATTATGATTATGAGGAGAGTTATAGCAGTAAAAGGAAACGAAGAAAACCACGTGGAGGTGGTCACCACCCTGCACGAAATCATCCGTCTTCTTCAGACAGTCCTGGGGGCAAACGTACTAAGGTAAATTTAATACACGTCGCTGATATGCAGTAATTCATTAATTCAACTTTTTCGGTACGAGTATGAGCTGTAATCAACAGATATCGAATACATAAATTTGTTCAATTGTTTATGCTCCGTATTCTTCGATATATCGCTGTCATAATATTTATATTTATTTATATAGTCATTTTCATCTGTATATTTGTTTGTAAATTATAATATTGTCAATAACTCACGAATTAGAAGATTCTTGTTATATAAAAGTATCTCGTTCTACATTGCTTTCGTCCGGTAATGATAACATTGTACAGCGTTGTACCGAAAAAGTTGCAAAATAAGAAAAAAAAACAAATTAATTTGCCTTTCTTGATTCAATTTCTTTGCATGCGACAGATATTAAATTTGTCATGCATATATTTTATTAAATATAGGGTGGGGGACGCGGGCGCAAAAAAACCAACTATGATGCTGTTGACACCGATAAGCCATTCGTTTGTGACCGTAAGTTTAATCACAGATACAACTACAAATGACCACTTCCTGTTACTAGTTTCATTACAAATATTATTATTATTATTATTATTAGTTTTATCAGTTGTTAATTCCGAAATAAGAGAAAAAAATGCAGTGCGATTTGTTAATTTTATTAAATAACTATATTTTTACAATGCCTACGTACTATTTTACAAGATATGCAGAGATTACTATATTAATATAATATATGATGATTGGAAGCTCGAAATAAATTATTAAAGATTTTAGTCTTGGTTGCCGCATAATTTGACATTTGGGAATGGTGATTAAGATTTGTAACGTGGGAAGGTGCCCTTTTAGTTGTACAAGTAATTTCATGGTTGACTTTTAATGCTCTTTCATTCAGAGGAATTGATCAGTATTGTATTGACTGCTGTTTTCCTTCAAGTTTATGAATTGCAGTATTAATTACTTAGCATACTCCAGTCCTTACTGTATAATTTCTGTTTGTATCAAAAACCTTGTACTCCATTTCTCTTTTCCTGTTTATCGAAGTATGAAGAGACATGGTATGATTCATGGATGAAAGGCAAAGATTGATCATAGAAAAAAATTCAAGTTTTTATTTACAAAAGAATCTATTAATCTAGGTTGTATGAAAGTTCAATGAAATAGTATAATAATAGTATGTCATTCTATACAAAGGCAATTACTCCCTGAAATTGTACAATCGTTTATCATTTAATTCGCGTTTCGTGAATTCATGTTCATTCGCAAATTTAATCACGGTTACAGATCTGACAACTACTGTTTACTATACATATATCTGTTGTGCAATAGCTAATACAGCATTCTTTTTTTTTTTCTTTTTTTTTCATTTGCCGTAACACGTAAAATTATTGTTTACAATAGTAGCATTGAGACGTACGATATCGAAAGTACTTGGAGCATAAATTTAACGTAACGTCGCGCTTGTCCGAACCTTGAAGGAGTATAATAGTCATTACTAATTTGATCGAACTTTTTCCAGACATGAAGTCTATAAATTAACTCGAATGTGCCTGCAATCTGTTTACTTCTTGAAACCACTCCTGTTAGATTAGCAGAAAATAAATCTAAAGACATTTGGTCTCGACTAGTAAGCCTCGATCACGCAATGATAGAAGAGAACCTTACGATATTCGAAAAATTTCATAACTCAGTCACCAGTCGAGCTTACGAAATTGGCCAAATATCTTCGGACGTTCTATACTTCCTGCCAATAACAGAGCAAGAATGTACTGGCTCACACTGTAGCGAGCTCATTCTGTAGGAGTATACAAGCATCAAGCCTTGCATCGTATTAGTTTTGCTTCTTGGGCTGGAACTCCTTCACTGCTTGTCCACATATAGATTCGTAGGTGGATAGGGATATGTACTGGTGCGGAAGGTGTGCAAATGCTGTCCCTAACCTGTAAGCTTCTATCCTAGATTTACTTTAACCGCCTCGTTCTTCGACGTTTCATCGGGAATTTCTCCTTCTTTTCCACGCCATCGTAAAGTGATTTCATTCTGTTCTTTCATACTGTCTTCTATATTTTAATCTTTACGAAGCCCACTGTTATTGTAAAAGGTTGAAGAGTATGTTTCCGACGCGGCGGTTAAACAAATACATCCTCCCATATCGTCCAACCAACTCGTCGACCAAGATTTCTCTTATCATGGACGTTGCATTGGATGGTTTGTGGGAAAACAGTATTTGCACTTTTGCAGTATGCAGCGCACGGTATAAAACCAGACCTGGTCTGGTCTACCATTACGGTCATTCCCACTCTACTTCCTCCGGTGATCCTGCTAAGGAACTAAGTCCCAGTCCTGCCGAAGTTGAACCTAGGAGCGTTGCAGACACCGCTGCTTCGAACCAGCCAGGTTGGAGCCAAAATCAGCTCAATTTTCTCACTTTCCTTTAAAAAAAAAAAAAAAAAACAGAAAAAATCCCACCCCCCCCCCCCCCCCCCCCCAAAAAAAAAAAAAAACAAACAAACAAAGGCCAACTCGTTCCCCGTTTCCTGATGTCTTTTTTACCTGGTGCCTTATAATCTTTGATCTCTGGATCCCGATTCTTGCAACTACTACTTGTTCATAGAAACCTGAACATTTTCCTAACTTGATGGAATTAATTATAATCTCTTCTTCTTCTTCTTGTTCTTCTTCTTCTTCTTACATTCTTCTACTTCTTTTTTTTACTTTCTTCTTAATTTACATGTATTGCAAATGCATGTATTGCAAATAACCGTAGCCGTAATGGATTTTTGTGTTTCCACGTTTTTCCATGGCATTTTTTATGCGTATGGAACCTCTTCAAGCACAATAATCTTTTCTCATTTTTATTACCTGTTTTTTCTTTTCTTTTTCTTTTTTTCTTGCCGATAATCTACATATCGTGTACGTATCATACGGAGAAAAGCATCTCTAAGTCAGTATGATAACGACGATTTTCCTTTCCTTTTAATATGAGTATTGTTCACATGTATATATTAAAAATTACGTACGTTTGCTTTTTACTGTACTGAAAGTTTTTCAAATCTCTTTCTGTTTTGTCGATATTTTTACCATAATAATATTTGTATTTAAGATGCGTCGATTCGAAACGAAATTACAAAGAGAAATACGAACGATCGTCGCGAATGTTTTTTCTTTTTTTTTTTTTTTTGCAATAGCATGCCTTTGCAATTCGCATCTTTTTCCTTCCAAAAAAAAAAAAAAGAATGTTCTCGTATTTGTTGGAAAAGCGAAAAAGCGGGACGGAAAAAAAAAGAGGCGACTCCATTTTGATGGAATTAATAGCGCTCCTTGACGCAATCATTTTTGAATGTTGGTATGTGTGTGCGTCTTATTATTTTTTACCCGATGAAGAAACTTTCTTCCGTGTTCTTCTGCAGCATGTACCGTTGTGTTTAACTAATTTCTGACCTCTGGTAGTTACTGTGTTACATTTCTTTCTAGCAGCGCGCTTGGGTTGTTTTCTGCTGTGATTCATTCATTTTCCCTTTCTTCGGTTTTTTCCGTTTCTTCGCTTTTTTGTCTTTGCCTACCGCTTCACTTTGGATTATCTAGAGCCAGAGATTTTTTCTTCTCGATAAAACCGCCTACAGAGCCTTGGACTAATGAGAAAACGACGCATGACGGAAATATAATCGCATATGCACGTCTGTGCCTTGTATCTTTCTGTTTCTCTATTTGACTTGCCAAAGTAGTCTTGTTTGTTACGTTTCTGTGGTGTTGTTCTCATCATTGAAACACCTTGGAATTGCCCCGACTTTGTAATTGGTGATGGAATGCATATCGAATTGATATAATACGTGCACCTTGTTACGATTATTATATTTGTGTGTATGTATATACATATACTATATGTATCTCTATATACATACATATACTATATGTATCTCTATATAAGTATTTCATTTGTTTCCTTATTGTTGTGCCAGTTTTCGTTAAAACATTTGTGATGCATCGAATAATCGATTCCTGTTTTATTATCCGGGGTAAAAGTTTCGCAGTTTGCCTTAAGCGACTGAAATCAGTTAAGATCAATCTCTGAAGATTGTTAAGAATTACCGTACTCTTGGTTAAATTAATTTCTCTAGAAAAATGTAACGTTTGATTCTTTCAAAGCCAATTGGAATTGTACAGCTGACTTTCAAACAGCTTTAACATACATATAATGTCTGTGGTGTATTTGTCGGAAGACAGTAACCATCAACTCTGTAAATGATCCTCAACTTTTTGAATCCTCGCTAAAGAAGATAGAAATGGTCTGTAACAAACGAAATTTCGAAAACCAAAGGCAGTCGCTTGCCAAGCCAAACCGCGAATAACGTCTTAATACCGTCGTTAATTTTTAATACATTAATACCGGAAATAACTGGTAACCGAATCGATTATCGGTGCACGCCATCACTCTGAAATTGACTCTAAATCATTGTCTCTAAGCCAGTGTGCATGGTCATTAGCTTGTGACGCAAAGCGCAACTGGGTATGTGGTCGGTTTGTGATTAGGTGGTACACGTCGGGGTCGTCAGAATGCAACTTCGTCAAGCACTTCGAGTCCCTCTCCCGCAGCGCCTTCCGCGTCCGCTGCGGGAGCTTCGACGCAGCCACAGCCGCAGTCTCAGCCAACGCAACCTCAGCCGCAACAGACGCAGCAGCAGCAGCAGCAGCAGCAGCAACAGCAACAGCAACAGCAGCAGCAACAGCAGCAACAACAACAACAACAACAACCGTCTCAGCAGCAGCAACCGTCTCAGCAGCAACAGCCGTCTCAGCAGCAGCAGCAATTGCCCGCGGTGCCAGCAACGGTAGCACCAGCTTCGCCAACGATACCCGCTGCAAAGGAGGAGCATCTGCCAGCAGTGCCGTCACCAGGCACGGCTGTGCCATCGCCTTCCTCTGTGAGGACCGAGGGTCCGCCAACGCCAGGGACGAACGAAAAAAAAGCTGGCAAGTCCGCGCAACCATCACCGTACTGCGACTTCTGTCTGGGTGATGCTAGGGAAAATAAAAAGACCGGCGGTTCCGAGGAGTTGGTCTCTTGCAGTGATTGCGGTCGCTCAGGTAAGCCAGAGGAAAAGATCAAGCGCAAGTATACGCGGAGAATGAATCACAATTAAGCCGTTCACGAGTTGGTTGTTCTCTGCTGGCCGGTAACCATGATCGTCGAGCATCCGCAACCCGGGCTCTTCTCGTTTTCCTCGGTAAAATGGCCATGCGTTGCCGGCTGTGTATATGGGGACGAGTGTGAACATAGTGTGAACAGGAAATGAGATTTATATAAGGTTATATTTATAAGGTAGCTTCTCTCTCGTTCGGAGGTTAATTTCAGGTTGAAGCTGATTGTTCGGATGTATATTTATTGTCTTGCTGTATTGTTTTCCTTGGGTCACGTGAAACCCAGTAGCGTCTCTTTTTGTGATCTGAAAATTTCGAGGAAGATGCGAGAGTCTTTTTGTTTTTTTTTTTTTTTTCTTTTCTTTTTTTAAGGGTATTGAATATCTTTTTATTCGTTGAAACGAAATTGATACGAGGTTAAAGAGATATTTTGTAAATATACTTCATGCAGCGCTCGGTCAGTTCTTTCAATGGATTTAGATGGACTTCTATTCGTCTCTTCCTGAGGAGAAGATATATGGAGAGATATATTATTGTTTCTGAGAAAACTATTCCTTGATCGGCTCCACCGATGTTCTCCAATAACTTATTCGGGCCATTGTCTTCCGGAAATACGAAATCAATTCCTTCTCTTATTCCCTCGCATACACACAAGGTGTTTAGCGTTCTTTGTACTCTTTTTTCTAACCTGATCTTATATCTAATCGCAGTGTACACAAATTTACCAAATATTGCCTTCCCGAAGTCTTCTTGTCGTCTGCTCTTCTCGCAATGAATCAATAGGTAAACAGCAAAGAGTAGAGTTCTCCATGTCCATTTTAGTAGGAAATAATACACGATGAAGTTTGAAATTGAAGGATATTGTCGTCTCCATAAAACACGGCCAGTAACAAGCGTTTTTCTCTCCTGTGTCTCCTTACGATCCGCGACTTGTGTTCACACGGTAGAGCCGAGGAATTATATAGCATTTCCATCATTGTTTGATTGTTCGATTATTATCCATATTGATCGTGATCGATTAATTAATTAATTGACTTAATTGTTCGTCGTTGAGCCGTTCGTTTGTTGAATTGGATCTTTTCGTGAGGATAGTTTTCTCTCTTTTTTTTTTTTCCTTTTTTGTTGGTTCTTAGACAAATCATTGTTATCGTCGATCGTCGATTCAGAAAATTATCGTACTGATTCGATCGCTATTTTTCATACCGTTAAAGATAATTCGATTTCTCTGCGAGAGGATCGCGATGAAAGAAAGAAAAAAAAAAGAGGATTTAAAAAAAAAATGTGGAGAAAAAAAGTAAGAGAATAATATACTATTTTTCGGATTGAGGTTAGGTTGACAAACTAGTTGCTGTGTGACATATGTTCGGAACCATCGTTAAAAGGTAGTTCATGTGTGCAATAATTAAGGGATATCGATTATCTGCATGGTTTACTAGATGGATAAAAAAATAAGGAGTTAGGAAGAGAGAGAGAGAGAAAGGAATAATGAATGGTTACGAGCTTTACGTACACTAGTCAAGGCACGAAAAGCAAAAACATCACTTTGTCAATGGTGCAACTTGTCGCATCTGAGTAATAGGAATTTTCCGCGAAATTCCTTTACTGCACGGATCAACTGTGATTTATTGTGTAATTCAATGATTAGTTTTTAAGGAAATAAAAAAAAAAAAATTTTTACGAAGGAAGGAAGGATAAAAAGAGAAATGACAAACGTACGAAGAGAATGAGAAAAGTTAACTATGTACAAAAATCAATTGAGATTGAGAATGCACGAATCTCGCTTTGGATATTTAAAAATGAAAAAAGGGGGAAGTGAACAAAAAAAAAAAAAAAAAAAAAAAAAAAAAAGAAAAAACTGAGAAAAATAGAAAGACAAAACGATAAAATTAATCGTACAATTTATGGGAAAACTTTTGATGGAGAGAGAGAGAGAGAAAGAGGAAAAAAAAATCGTAGATCGTGAAATAGACCCATTCGAAAGTTTTTTTAGAGAAACGAAGAAAACAAAAGAAAAATAAAAAAAAATTCCTGTTGCACAGTACTACTAGAGCACATATTGAAGAAGATGTGTTTGTGTCCTTTGTTTGACTATAGTGTAATTGTGGTTCTTTTTTTTTTTAACGTCGTTCCGTTCAATAATCAAAAGAAGAAAAAAATAAGACAAGGATCAATGGGGGTACGAAGCTTGCCGCGAAAAATTGTTCGTTCCATATGGTCGCGAAATTTTAAGAGAGCTTAAAAAAAAAAAAAAAAAAATGATACGATATACAACATATATATATATATAATTATATATACTTAAGTATATACTATATAGTATATATAGTATATACTTTATATTATTGATATTATCCAGCACAGTCGTGAATCGTTTAACGAGAGCAACAATATTTATATATAGTAAGAAGCAGAAAAAAAAAAAGGAGTAAAAGGATCGACCATGTTTTTTTGATACTTCTACACTTTTTCAAGTCTGTAAATATCCTTTTTATTTTGCGTTTTTTCGAGTGTTTCTATTTACAAAATATATTACCATAGTAAGTATATCATACCATAAGAGCGCAGCACATATGTATGTATAACGTTAGTAAGCAAAGTGCTATCGTTCAAAATACTCAATTTTAAAAGTCGCAAAAAACAAAATATTCATTTTTAAAATGCCATAATATGCGATTCACTAACATCGTTTTTTTTCCTTCATTATCCGACGTAGTACTACGTTCTTGAAAAGTAGAAACGAAATTTCAGCTTTCACATATGAATATAACAACTTTTCAGTCAATCAGTTGCGTCAATAAAAATTCACAAGTTGTTATCTGCTATTTTTTTTTTTTTTAACGCTTTCTAAAATAATTGATTTTGACGATCATAACGAAAAAAAATGGAGTTTGAGTTAGAAAGAGAACCAACTTTTAAAACTTTTTAACTTCATTTTCGCATGGACATTCCACATGTAAATCTGCTGCTCTTAAAAATCTTCCGTTTCGTTCTGGGCATTAATGGTTTCCGTCTCACGTTGCAAATATAATGCATAATATAGTAATTGCCTTTTTATCATTCGTAATCGTCATCAAATGACGAGCATATTTATTGCATACATAGAAGAAAAAAAAAATGAAGTGACACGTGCAAGCGGAAATTGCGTGTAGAAAAAAGGGAGCGAAAGAGTGTAAAAATTAATATGAAGTATTCTTTCTTTACTTTCCAAAACGGGTTTCTTCAGTCTTTAGGCAGAATTTTGACCATACAATGTATGTCGTGTTTTTACGATATAGCGAAGAAAAAGAAGAAAAAAGAAAGAGATAAAATATATCACGTAATCTTAGAAACTCGATAATAGCTTACAATTAGTTTTGTACAAGCTTTGATATTCGTAAGGAAATATTGTTCGAACGCTAAAATTAACGCGAAGAAGATAACGAAAAAGAGAAAAAGAAAAAAAAGAAAGAAGAAAGAGAAAAAGTCGTCGTTTTACTCTCGGTATAGCATGAATAATATCACGAGTTTCATAGTGGAGAGATCGTCGCCGTCGTCGTTGTCCGCATTTAATTAATCAACTTTCCTCCCACTACTCCCGAACAGTACTGCAATCCGCGCATTCGTTTTTTTTAATTATTATTATTATTAGTAGCTGGTTTTTAACGTTAACGTTATATCATTATCATAGATTTATGAATAACCGATGCAAGCGAGTTGTACGTACGCACGTGTACTCGACACTTTCCCTTGTTATTACCTTTACGTCCGACGTGTAAACAAGCGCAGCAGGTAGATGGCTAATTTCACGGTGCGTCTAATTAACCAACCGGAATTGTACAGCGCAGAGACACACGCAGAAGAATTCCCTAGGGTTACGTCGTGTTCAAGTGTTGCACGCCAGTTCTTTCGTGTCCTTCTGCTGAGAAAAAAAGAAAAAAAAAAACGTCGTCGACGCCAGTTTCTCGAGTCTTACCAAAAAATGAGAGAAAAGAAATGAAATAATTAATAAGTAAAGATAGGGATAAACTAGAGGAAGAAAAATATAATATATATATATAGAGAGAAAGAGAGAGAGAGAGAGAGAGAGAGAGAGGGAAAAAAACAGAGAAAGAAAATATGATGTGTTTAATGGCGCGAGATCCTGTAGGTTAACTCTATAATTTAGTAGCGCTCGTGCGACGAGAGAGATAAATTTGAAGGTGAATCACTATCGTATCTTGATGAACCCTGCTATTTATCGTATTAAAAGAGACTCACATATATAGTATAAGAGAGAGGGCAAAAGAGAGAGAGAGAGAGAGAGAGAGAGAGAGAAAGTGAGAGAGAGAAAGAAAAGAAGTGAAACGATGAAAGATTTAAAAAAAAAGAAAAAAAAAAGAGTAATTACGAGTATGAAAGCATGCAGAGATAGTTCCTCCTTGTTATATAAAAGAAAAAAAAATGATCGAAGACTTGTTATTAGGCAATTTTAATTAAGCAATACCCATGAGGCTTACAAATCTAGTATTTAAGTAATGCTAGTTATATATAAATATATATATTATATATATATTATATATATCAAATGTGATACGTTATATGAGTTACGTGTGTGCACGAGTGTATGGATATCGATAAAAATAAAACACGCACACACACATACACACACACACATACTTGCGCGTGCGGGAGACGAGGAAACATGAGTGGATGTGTGTGTGCGTATATGTGAGAAAGAGAGAGAGAGAGAGAGAGAGAGAAAAGAGAAACAAATGAGAAAATAGTGTGAAAGAAGTGAGAAAGAGTATGATGATGTGAAAAAAAGTGCGTATAAACTAATGAGAGGAGAGAGTGTGCTGGTCCGCGACGTTTATATTGTGCTGCGCAAGAAAGAACGTGAACTATTCCAAGGTACGCACCGCTATTACTTACCACCTTACTATTCCAAATAAAATAACAATATGTTCAAGAGGCAACATCAAAAAAACAAAAAAAAACAAAAAAAATACAATCGCAGATATCATGAAATAAAACATTCTGTGCGGAAACATAACAGAACGTATCATTATTCCGGACGTTTTTAGTGCTGAGGAAAGGTGAAAGTCATGATCCTTTGTCAATCATATCGCACGCGTTTCTTGAGCAATCGAAAGAAGAAATGAAACTGTCGAGTTCGATGATAAATTTAAAAAAAAAAAAAAATATGCTTCCGAATACGGGAAAAAAAGATACTCTATATAAATGAGATATAATAGCTTGGAGTTCACTGTTCTTCGGCACAAGATAAATGTCCTAGCACCTTTCTACTCGTCCAAACAGCTATCCTATTCCGTCCTACATGCGTGTTCCATGACCTAGCTACGTTCTTGTTATAGGGCATCCGACTTGTTTGCAATTCACAGCGAACATGATCGTTTCTGTTCGCAAGTACAGGTGGCAGTGTATCGAATGCAAATGCTGTTCCATTTGTGGCACCTCTGACAACGATGTGAGTATTCATTACTATTTTTCCGGGTTTTTCACCTTGCGCGGCCGGGACAAAGAATAATCCACGTGTATCTACTCCAACTATTTTGATTTCCCCCTCCCTCTTTTTTTTGTTATGAGGAGACTATTCTGTTCGAGTATCTTTTGTTTCTTCGCGTTGATGTTCACTTTGTTTGGGCCATGCTTTGTCAATTATTTATTTATTTATTTTTTTTGTTATCATATTTATTTTCATTAAATAACTAAATAATAATCTAAAGTAAAAAATTCGAGAAGTAATAATTTTTATTACAAAATAGTATTTTGTAAAAATTAAATATCATATCAAGACGAAACATGGTAAGAAACGTATAGTAAGTTGCAATTTTCATTTAAAAAAAAGTTTTTAATCGATTGATCCTAAATCAAAATAGTTTGAGGAAGATGTATGAAGATACGATCTGTTAACAATCCTAAATCTTCTCAAGTTTCGAATTATTGTAACACGTTGCTAATACTTTCTGTAGAAAAAAAAAAGAAAATGATTTATCGAAAATTAGCAATGGAACAGTCTACGTTTGAGAAAGTATAGAAGAATAATTTGTAAAGAGAAAACGATAGTAGACTGCGTAAAATAATAATCATGAATAACATCTACTTAGGAATCGTTACAAGCTAATTAATTGTTTCGCGAACCAAACTAGGATCAGCTGCTGTTCTGTGACGACTGTGATCGTGGATACCACATGTATTGTCTATCTCCACCTCTTGCGTCTCCTCCCGAAGGCTCCTGGTCTTGCCGTCTGTGCATAGCAGAGTTTCATCGCCGTGATTAAAAAAAAAAAATCCTTTGTCTCGTAGATAAGTGATGGATTTTACCTATTTGCTGTGGTGCAGTGGCCGTTCTCGAATTAGGAGAGTATTCTATAAGTTCACATTTCCTTGTAGTATTATGATAAACGCAAATGTACTATCGGATGGACTACTCCGTTATAAGGAGGTCTATTAACAATGTTGGCAGCATTAATAATTTCTTTTCCTTATTCGTCTTTTCGATTTAAGTTTTTACTGATTAAGATGAAATGTTGCGAAATATTCATGTACGAATTGTGAATATTTGCTATGTTAGATTATCTCAGGCACTGGTGATCTCAGAAAATTAATGGTATCGTAATGACGTATTTATAACGAGCTAGCGTTTATCAGTAAATAATAAGGTTAAAGGAATGTCTGATGTTTTTGTCATTAAAGTTTATGGAATTAATGAAATAACTTTAGTAGTCAAGGACTCGTTAGATTATCAACGCAGTCGTGTTTTGTATTAAAATGGTGAGATGTAGTCTTTATTGATTTTTAGAGAGAGAGAGAGAGAGAAAGGTTGTGTTTAACAATATTGTAGAAGTTAGTTCGAGAATTGCAAACACTGATAAATACTCTCCTAGTTCTTTGGGCCAGTTATTTTTAGCCATTGACATTCGAAGTTCGGTTGCTTTTAGTATTTCAAAAACTGCTTACATTTTAAACGATTTTTCGGAGATCTCAAATTTTCATAATCTCTTTAGCTCCTTGCTATTAACTTGGTCTAATCCAAGATAAATGAAGGAAGCAAAAGTAACGAAAAAAAGTTGATATTCTAGGAAGAATATGATATTAATAGCATCTGTTTTATAAATAGTGATAAATAGAACACTATCTGTTCATCTATACGTATCACAATACTAAAGCTTTTACACTTAATGACAGAGCCATTAGTAGCAATTAGCAATATAGCTACGACATACAAACTACGCAGTACAGCAGAAAATTATATTCTATATGCCCTTTATTATTAGCTCAGTATTTTTATATTTTATATATTGAATGTACTTAATTTAAGATACTGTGGTGATATTTGGTACTCACTGTGTAATTCTTATATAATTCTTTTTCTTTTTTTCTTTTTTTTTAAAGTAATTTTAAGGTCGCTTAACGACATGGAATTGTGTGTATTAGGTGTCATGAAAATAAGTCTTATAGAGATTTTTGAGTTTGATCCATTTAATTAATGGTAAATTTACATTTTATATTGCTTATTTTTAACACACTGTATGCAAATTTGAATAAACATCAGTATACAACTGAACCACTAACTTTAGACAGTCTTATTGTGTGCCATGAATATTTTTTGAGTGCAGGAACATGATACATAACAATAGAACTTCTTTGGGTGCTATATTTCAGGGATTAGTTCCCATTCTAGGATAACTTTATAAGATTGAAAGTCATGTCTTTGACCAAGGAAAATTATATTCTATAATTATAATAAATACAATATATACAAATATATATATATATATATATATATATATATATATATACATATATATATATATATTTGGGAAAATGTAATGTTAAGGTATTCATAAGTAACAAACAATACTCAAAACAAATATAAGTTTTTTTATAAAAACAGGATTTATATAAATCTATGATTATGTTTTCTCATTTCCCACAAGCAAGCAAATATTCTGATGAAGTATTAAACAGAGATACTCTGGTTCCCACGTTTTATTACATGAGTATTAATCAATTTCTACTAAAATGTCTGAAAGAGGTTTTCGCTGAAGGTCAGGTACTGTAGCATCTTTTGCTGGGTAACCAACTGGCAGTAGTACAAGAAGCTTCTCATTAAGAGGACGTCCAAGTAAGGTACGGATAGCAGGTCCACAATTTAAAGGAGTAGAAGTCAGAGTTACCAAACCTGCATACTAGTTTTAAAATTCATATATTATTCATTCATATTATTCATAGATATACAATATAAGAGATCATAGTATTATATTACCTGTATAGCAGTGATGAGGATACCACAAGCAATACATGTGCTCATTTCATTATAATAATGAATTTTCTTTTTTCCCTTTGGTAAAATTCCATAAATTTGTTTAAACACAAGTATTAAATAAGGAGCAGTAGTCAGGTATTCTTTGATCCAATTTGTCCTTAATGGAAGTAAGTCGGTTGTCCATTTTACTCCCATTCTTTTTTTATAATTTATTTCTTCTTCACTTTCAACGATACGACGTATTTGTTCTTTTACCTTTTGATTTGATACCACTACGAATGTCCATGGTTCTGTGTGTGCACCACTAGGCGTAGTGCCTAAAACCGACTCATTGTCAGATGTATAAAAGATTTTGTGAATGTAACTACATGATATTGTACCTGCAGCTTTTATTATCTCATGTATGACTTCTTTTGGTACAGGGTCAGGACTGAAAAATCGTATAGTTCTCCTAGCAGCTACTATTTTGTAAAACTTAGAAGCACGACAAAACATTTCTTCTTCAGAGGCTCTTTTATATACATAAGGGATATGTTTTAAATTTATTGGTAGTACAGGTTCTTCACTATTTTCTAGTGTTTCCTGATTAATGCCTAGAATTTTACAATTTTTTTATTTTCTAAAGATTATATGTTTAATGAGAAATTATTCAAATGATCTATTACATAAGAGGAAATGAATTTCATAAAAAAATTGCAATAATTTCATATTCTAATAATAACAATATTATAGTATTATTACCTTTTAGCTGCTCCACGGTATTATCTAAAGTGTTAAAATTATGTCTGTTGTTTTCTATAAAAATAGTGCCCTTTTTAAACACTTCGTAAAATAATTTAAAAAATATACAAAATATGATACTAATTAGCACATGGTACCAGTATTTCGTCCAAAATGGTAAAAGTTCAGTGAACATTTTTTGAACAAAAATTTAATATTTATTTCAAGAACAAAGAAATCGAGTATACTGCTCAACTGTTTCAATTACAGTTTGCTGAAGGCTAACAATGTGTAATGATATTGCGTTTAAGCGGGTGGTGGGATACGTTTGACCTACAATAACTAAGTTATCGCTTTTAAACCAACTATGTATCCCATGACTCATGATGAAAAAATAAATTTAGTTGTCAGTTTAATTTCTTGTCGATCATTTATAATACAACGAAGTATTTAAGTACTTGTACTTTAAGCCGTACATATACATATATTGTATTTAGTAAGTTTTCAATTTTTTCAAGTGACGAAGAATAATTATAATTTGTATAATTCTAACGACTAGTGATTATTTAAAAGAATCGTAAAAATTGTCTTTTGCACCCTTGTCGTTTAGAGAGAAAACATAGTATTATCTACTGAAGCATCTAAACAATAAGTACATCTTTAAGCAATACACAGAAACGATTTAATTATATAGCGTGAAAGAAACTCAGGCTACTTAAAAGATAAATCCATTGAGATGCTGGCTTAGACAATGACTTTTATTAACATCTTATTATTGTTAAAGACTTGTTATTACGAATAAAGTCACTGTTTACTTTTAATAATTTTCATTCATTTCCATTAGCATCATGATTATACAACTTCTGGTAAAAAGTTTTCGAGGAAACGCAAAATTATGGAATTAATTAAAAACACTTGTTTCAAGAGTTTAAAGTATCATATATTATCAAATATCATATCACTTATTATGGAAGAGTTATTGATGTTAATTTAAATTTGTGAAGGAATAATTTGTAATTACTTTTTCTTAATTTTTTTCATGTTTTTTTATATTAGTAACGAATCTCAAATTTATATTGAAGAAAACTAGCAGTCCAAAAACAATAGTTGAGGAGTCTTATTAGGTTTGAAATCTTCTAAAAATCAAATGACAAAAACTGTAAGTGACAAAAGTAGAGCAGTTTAGTCAAATTTTTCACGAGTTTATTATGCAAGAATCAAACACTCACGCAATAAAATTTTGTACTTGAAAAAATTTTGGTACTTGAATAAAATTCATATTATCAATTGAAAAAGTTAAAAATATTGATCGAAAACTTTCTGCCCGGAATTGTATATGGAGTTAAATGTTTCCATTCTCCTTTTTTCAATGTTAATCCTTGGACGATGTCTCTCACAAACAACGACGATCTTCAGGAGTGATGTATGCAGCATATTTTTCGAGGTAACTTCGTTATCATAAAGGGGGAAAAAAAGACAAAAAAAGTGTACTTATGATTCTATCATTAGAAAAATCTAAAATTTGACGCAGATCTGACTAAATATTACTATTGAAAAACAAAAGAAAAAGGAAAAGGAACAAAGTTTAAATATCTTTTTATCTTTTTTCCAGTCAAACAATAGAAAAGTTGGAAAATCAAACGAAAATTTGATCTATCATATATTTTCCGTGATTTTGGTCACAGTAAATATTTTCGCTTCGCATTACGTGCGGTCGGTAATCTGTGAACACTGCTGTATCAACGCATCAACCAGTGTTGTACGTTGCGCGTTTTGGATGCGCAGTACATCGAAACGTGCGTGTCTTCGTTGTCCGTTAACACGGACGCGAGAAATTTGTGGCAATCATGTAAAAACCCAGTGTCAACGCGTAATTTCTCGGATCGATTCATCTGTATTTCGTAACAGTCAGGACGACTATCATAACGCAATAACGGGGAAACGAACGATTCCATCTTAACTATCGTAAGTACATGAGAAAGAGAGTGAGAGGAAGAGAGAGATAGATCTTGTCACACATACGTTTTTGCGACGAATTAGAATCAGAGAATCACTGACGTGTACGTTTTGTGAAATGTGCTCTCGTTGAGGAAGAGATCGAGAATTGCATCGTGAGTGACATCGAAGTTTCATCGAGCAACAGAGACATGGAGAACGCTATGCAGCCGCCACTTCCACCGCCACCCCCACCCCTACCTCCGGAAATTCTTGAGAATACCAGCACGGAGCACACGGTCACCCACGTCTTGACATTTGGTACGTCGCATTCATCTTTCCTTTCATGTTTCAACATGACTCTGTCTTTCACTTCTGATAACGACCGATCGATTACAAATTCTTGATAACGGCAACGTACTGCATCGAGTAAGTTCCACTGATTCCAGCTATTCGACGTAAACGCGTTTCTCAAAACGTGGTGTACGTTTTCTTGCTTCGAAAACGTCTGTCTTTTGTAAATTTTTCGAATTGCAGGATAGTTTTGAAGAGGACTGCTGTGAAATTTCCGATTGTGTCAAGTGTCAATTAGACATGCTGCAGAAAATGTCGAATGAAATTTAACAGGTGAAGATATAAAATCTGAAGTTACTAGTCATGTTGTTGTTTGTTGTTCGATAGAGGCTGCTTTGTTTGAGAAGTACAGAGTCAGTAATGAAAAGATAGAAAACTATATTGAGAATGTTGCTTCTCAACTTGTGATAATGATTTCTGATAAAGAAGTTCCTTTCAAAAGCCATTATCTGCATTAAATACCAATCAATTTATAAGAAATCCATAAAGGAGATTGTATTGAATTTATAATTGAAATTGCTTGTGATGCAACAATGTGTCGTCGGATATCAAAATATTGTTCAATTTGAAGAATACAAAATTTCTGTTATCGATACTGGCTTCTTTCATATTGAGAGAATAAAGCAAAAACTCATTAAGAATTCAAGTATCAGTTGGTGACATGGTTTCTTTTAAAAAAATTAAATGATATTACATCAACTATGAAAATTATATTATTATATTAGCTATAGTTTATATAATGTGATTGATATTACATCAACTATGAAAATTATATTAGTTATAGTTTATATAATGTGATTGAAAGTTTTTTTCATGGTTAGTTTAAAATTATTATATATGTATGCTATTCTTATCTTTTCTATCTTATTTTTTTTCAAGTAAAGTTATTGTGCAATATACAGGATTAGTGGTGTTTGAAAGTTCTGGCAGTACATTGGTTGTGAAATTGTTTGTGTTGGTCTTCTTACTTTTTTTTTTTTTTTTTTTTTTTGACATTGAAAGGAAAATTAAGATGCAAGTTCTCAAAGAACAGAAATCACACGCATATGTGAACTTCTAAATTTAGTCTTGCCAGCTAGAAAGTGGCTTTTTAAGCAAGCAACATTGAATGTTCTTTGTTGGTTGATGAAACAGAACAATCGTAGTAGTAAAATGTTTATTGGCCTTTGTTGACATATGTGATAAATTTTAAAATAAATCTGTTGACCTTTCTTAATTATATTATATCTATTATATAACTAATAAACTGAACAATTTTCATTAGTGTTGGGCTGTTCTGTATTTTGTTGAACGATTAGAAATATCCTCTAATCATTTCCTAGATAAAATAAGTAGACCGATCGTTTTGAATTTTCCGAAAAGTAATTTTTCGCTAGTGATTGAAAAAAAAATTCAACTTCCTTTGTCGTTATGAAATGATTTCTTAATCCTTTAATATGATTTTTTCCCCAAGAGAATTAGATTTAAATGAAGCCAGAACTAAAATACGGAAATCGTGTAGTGAAATAATTCATGCACGGTAGATTTGAAAGAAATAGCAGGCAGTAATATTGCATCACAGTTATGAAATATTCATAGTAGTTCAAAGTCACCATTATTATATATTAAATGTTTCGTGTCAGCAGTTTCAATCAAAAGTTAAAATCGCACTTACCTTACGAATGTTTCAATTCACTCAAGTCGTAAAAAATATATCCAATAAAAATATATCCTAATTATCCAAATTTCGTAACAGAATAAAAATGCGAAAAGACCTGACGAGTTAACTCGTCAAAAAGAGAGCTACACTCGTGCGTAGATCCCGATATATACGACACGTGATATAGTTTTATCGATCGAATAGACGTTTTGTTTATCGACGATCGATATTTATCTTGGGACGCAATTCGAGTGCTATGTAAATTGCACGACAATTTATGTTAATTATATTCACATATATTAACGAGTCGTATGTTTATTTATTTATGTATTATAATTATAAATAGTTATAAATATCATATAATTGGATTTAAGCGGTATATATCTAAACGATGTAATGTATACACATACGTATTATGTCGTGAATTATAAATATGCTCCTTGAGAACGCATGCCTTTACCGTGATGCTTACAACTCTTTTTAGAATATTCTCCATGCTTTTTTCTTATCCTCGCTGTATAAAAACCAGCATTAAAATTTAGTCGCTCAAATAGGCACGTGGCCGGGAAGTGAAGACGCGGAATTTACGATTCACGGCGTACAATTTTCTCCTGCATGACACGAAATCTCGATAAAGTCGTGTTTTGGACGTACAAAATTTCGATGTGATTGCACCGCAAATGAGAGGCTGATTAATAAAAATATTGCTACAGCAAACAGCTTGTCAGCCTCTTGAGCAATAAACTAAGAGAAACAAAGTCGTAATAAAGTCACTAGTCGATTCTTCCTTTGTAATTCTTACTCTTTTTTTCAACTTCGTAGCAAAGTAGAACACATTAATCCTTTGTGTTTTACATAAACGCAACTTTAAATTTTGATACAAACAGAATATATAAATTATATTCTAATATTTTAATAAAAATCTAGTCAAATCTAATCTTTCTTTCCTCTTTTCTTTTTCTTTTGTACGCTCCAGAAGTAAGAAATGCATTTTCGCGCGAATGACCGATCGATGTAAAAAAAAAATCCAGCGATCTACGAAAAGGTTTGAGAGCGTACCGCGAGCCTGCTTCGGAAACAGTTAATCCGATTCCGTTGGAACGGAGAGAAACAAGATTAACTCGTGTTACGCAACCGAGCCGGGCACCGAATTGGCTAGGCCCGTCACTGGGCGGATCTCGGTGTTTTCCAAATCAGCTGTTAGTCGCCGGTGAAGGGAGACTTACGAGTCTCGTGGTGGGGGATCCGTCAGTCTGCTTCGAGACGCGGACCGATGCGCATCGTGTTCAGTCGGTAGCCAGTCGCGACCGCGTTACACCTTCGTGCACGCGTAATCCACGCAGTGTCTGTTCCCTTGCGTACGCATATGCTCCGCTCGTCTCGTTACGTGCGTGTCGTATGCACGATCGTTTTTGCTACATTCGCATCAGTGACGTATATCGATCAAGCCGAGTGAAAGTGGTGCGAGATCCATCCAACTTACGTCGAGAATACATCACGTAAATAACGGAGTGCTACCTACATAGTGGAAACTTCCATGTATTGACGAAGGGGGACTTCGTAGTGGCGTGTCGTGGAAGTGCAGCAAGTATTTAAAAATAAATACCAACGCGAAGCCCCGTGTGTGCCCCGTTTACGTGAGTGAGACTCCGTGGTTCGAGAGAGAAAGAGAGAGAGGCGGAACGACGTGTCTGCACGTACGTGTGTACGTGCGTGCCTCTGACCACCCATCGAAAAAAAAGAAACATCGCAGCGAAACACGTGGCGGCGAGCAGTGGTCACGGTTAATTCATCTAATTTCCCACATGCTGCCCTCTTCCTGAATCGACGTGTGACGCGTCGTTCGAGCAGATCGCGCAGATATTCACGAAGGTGGCCAAGGCCGAGGCTTACTCGCCGCACAAGGTACGCGACTCAAAGTGTGTCAGTAGGATAACGGTGGCCGATCTGTGTTTCGTTCGGCCCGACACTTTTGCCTGACTTAGGAATTGGAACACGACTGCATAACTAGAGAAAGGGATTGCGCCATGGTCGGTCGGAACTTTTTTTTTCGAACGTATTAGCCGCGGTAGTTAGCCGCGTTAAGAGACAGGGGATTTTTCTTTTTTTTTTTTTTTTTTGCTCACTTTTTTTTCCTGTATTCTGGCAACGACGATTTCGTGAAATAGATGCTAGAGCTTTATTCGGATATGTGAGATACTGGGAGACCGACGAGACTGGTTATTACTACTTGACACGGACACTCGATGTATTGGGTTGGCCAAAAAGTAATTGCGTTCTTTATAATAGATAAACATATACACAGACATATATATATATGTCTTAAAATATAACTTGATTTTAAACCGCAGATTCATTGTGTAATCTGACACCAGATTGTCTAAGCTTGTTTTAGAAAAGGAAAATGCATGATTTCGTTGACGATTGTTTGTTTCGCGTCAATTTCAAAATGGTAAATCATCATATTTTTTGCTACACTCCGAAAAGGAAAAAAAAAAACGCTGTGCAAGTTTGTAAAAAATTATCCGACGTGTATGGTAAAGGAACCTTTGAACCTACGGGTAGTGTCGGAATTGGTTTGGTAAATTTCACTATTATCTCTGTGGAAGAAGATAAGAGCCTTTTTTGAACGTGCGTGATCGTGAAGTTGCCTGAAAGATGGCAAAAGTTAATCGAACAGAACGGCCAATAATATTGTCTAATATTTGTTTTGTTTCTCATGGAAAGCTTGCACACGAAAAAAGAAAACGTTTACTTCTTGGCCAACCTAATAATTTTATTCTAATAATAATTGTGTATTATATTTCGAGTAATTTATGTTTTTGTGACGAATAACTAGAATGATGGGGGGGGGGGGATATTGGCAACATTAATAAACTTGCTAAAAAAATATTTATGTATACTGCCAGCTCTGAAAGAGTATTTTCCACAACTGCAATTGTTAGTTCAGTGTGAACGAGCCCTGCTACTGAAAAATGCAGACTCATTATTATCTTCATACTAGACGTTCAATTTAAAGTAGTTACTTTGTTGTTTTCTTGTTTGTCGTTAAAAATGAAAATTACATTCGTCCAATAGACATTCGAGTAATGCGAGTAGAAACAACAGACATGTAGTTTCGACTATCTCACGCGATATCCTGGTACCCGGGTAATTTTTTGTTTATCTCACACGCGGGTAAGCTCTACTAGATACTAATAGATACTAAGTCACGAAATACTTCCCGACGTGTCGTCTGTCAGTGTCTTCTCGCGATTTTCTTCTGAACGGATATGCATATTATGGAGTAACATGTTTGTTTGAATAGTTGTGAAAAGAAATCAGAATCGTAGAGTGTTTCCTGGATCCTTTTGCCGCAATGTAAACTTCTCGAGTTGATGAGATATATAATTTAATCAATAGTTGAGGCGACAAATCACGGGATCGTTATCCATCTGTCGTTATTTTCACCCATTCCTGGAACTGATCTGTTGGAGTAAACTTTCGATCTTACATTGTCGTTCCAACAAAGTAAAGAAAAAAAAGTGTACAACAGTGCCTTGATAAATGACCCGAGACCTTTGCTCAATTTGCCGAAGAAGAGTCTATTTTTAGAGGATCCCCGAGAGTTAGTACGTGTCCCTCTCTCTCTGTGCTTCGGTTAGAGATAAAAATATTTTACACGTTTCTTCATTTTAACCTTCTGTGTGTACGTATGTACGTATCTCTGTATGTAATGGGTGTTTCAGTTGCAGTAGCATTCAATGTTACAATAACCGTCCTGCGGTTTGTAAACCTTCACTAATAATAGACAGTCGCGCGGACAGTTTCATTGTATGTTGTACGTTCCTCGATAACTGTTCAGATAATATCCTAATCCAAAGTACATTACTAACGTTTATAACATTTTCGCGCCTCGTCGGTGGAGAACACGCTGCTTTCGGTTGGTTTCGGTCGCTACTTGTTGTCGCCTCCCTCTCCCCTCCTCGCGAGTCGCGTTGCGTCACCGGGAGGAGGAGAGAGTATGGCGATGACGATGACGACGGCAGCAAGAAGAGAATCGAGAAAAAAGAAGAAAGAAAGAAATAGTCTCGCGTACAACACGCTAGTTTTTCAGCCACGGATACAGTCGAATATCGAAGATCCGAGTAAGCACGTTAGTCACCGATTGTTCGATCGTGGTATCCGGCTACGTGGATAATACGGTTACGGTTAACCTAATATTCGCGCGATAGACTGTTTAACCGAGCAATGGCAGTTACATTAATACGTTGTTACAGGGTGTCTGGTTTGAACAGAGAGCACGTGATACGTGTATCGGGGTCACTGGTTCGAGTTTAAACTTTGCGCGTAATTAACGCACGCTGTGTACAACGCCTCCGTAACGTCGACTAAAACGAGATGTATGTATGCTTTGTTGTGGTTAGTTTTTAACGTTTGTTGGCAAATGTCGGTTTGAACTTTTTTTTTTTTTGTTTTTAAAATTTTGTTCGGTTCGTAAATATACGATCCCCTAAAAATAGGTGATACTATGAAATTGCGTGTCAAAGTGATGTCAAAGAGAGAGAGAGAGAGAGAGACGATTGTTTTCTTGCTTAATAAAAAGTCGAAGAGATTGAATTCACAGCGTGTTAAAGTGGAGCATGATAGGAATGACTCGCAGATTTCGAGGAAGCATTTGTGAAATGATGTAACGATTGTTAATGATAAGTCAAGTATCGTTTTCAGCCAGACCTAGTTATTGTTTGAAAGATGGTTTCACGTTTGAAAATTTCATTGCTGTCGACACTGTTTGATCGCGGATAATGAAAAATATTGACTCTGAAAAATATTGTCGGTATAGCAACGAATCACAATTCGCAGTGGATTGCAAATTTTTATGAACAAAATTCGTAAAAAATAATTTTTTTGTGACAACGAATTTGTATAAATTCACACGTGTATAGTCGAACAGTATTAAAAAATAATACATCATAAAAGAAAACTGTCCTTGGCAAATTGACGACTAAATGTCTTCGAATTTACCGTTTCGCAGTATCCAGGATAATTGCCCGACGTTCAATAAATTCATTTGGAAAAGTTGTTCACTTTAGAAAGTGAACTTAAATGATATTGACACATTTTGTGCTGTTGTTGGAATACGCCCATGGGATGAAGCATTTCAACGAACAATGACAGTCATAAATTTACAGAAAATTGAGGTAGAAGCATTTGGGACTATTGTTTGAAATTCCTTACTTTTGGAATTTTCAGTCCCTGCATAAAGCTCAGGTCATTTCTTGGCAATTAAGTATCGTGTTCATTAACACAGTATAATGTATTATATATAACCTGACCTATGGGTATAATATTACATATATAATAGATTAGGCTATATGTAATATAATTATATGTTATACGATATATATAATACACTATATATAATAGAATTATATTATATTATATATAATTTTACCTATTATAATTGGTATAATATTACACGTATAATAGGTTAGGTTATATGTAATACAATTATATTATATTATATATAACTGAACCTATTGTACATATAATGGGTGTAATATTATATGTATAATAAGTCAGGTTATATATAATACAATATATTATAGTATATATAACCTTGTACATTGTATAATGTATTATATTATATTATATTATATTGTAATACATATAATTATTACATTCAAAATTTCATTTCAATTTCGATTCATACTTCGACTCACAGCAGGAAATGTGTCAATCGACCGACCTTTACTCCCGAATCGATTAATCGTACGATCGCGACATAACGTCGATCGTAACAGATCCGTGCATCCGGATATCGAATTTGATCGATTCTCACGGTACGCGAGAGGTGGTTCCCTGTTTAGTATTGGAGAACTTCCAGGAGAATACTTATCGACGTCAGTTCTTATCAGTTCTGACGTCGAACGACGATGGATTTTATAAGCTCTCGATGTCGAACGAAACAACTTTGTTTTCCCGTGAAGCAAAAACAGTGTCTAAATATCCTCCGTGACATTTACACTCGATTTACATATTCCTAGCGATATGAAACGGTTCGTCCTATTGGGCCACGTTCTATCAGCCAAAGAAAGACGATCCCCGGTGAGGTTTTCTGGATGTTAGATTCGTTCACCTATGTAGTTGGAAACGTAAACTAAATTCACGAATATTCGTGTACCCGAAGTATATTGTATAGGGATATGAATTGTTCTATAGGGATATTGTATAGGGATATTAATATTGTATAGGGTTAGGGACATGGATAACGATTTGGTACTTTGCATATCTGAGCATTTGCAGCCTGTTTAGTAATTTATTTGTGAAAATGTTGAAGCGCCCAGAAATGTATTTTCATGATGATTGTTTCGAATTTAGAGTTTGCATGTACATACATATACGTTTGTTTATAGTGCGGACGGTTTCAAACGGTTACGACTCGAGAAATTTACACGGGGGGATGGGCCGGGAGGGGGAGGGCGGAGGAGGAGGCGGAGGAGGAGGAGGGCGGGGGAAATTGTTTACGACGAGTCTAGAGACATCTAGGTTCAAGACATTTGAATTTGTCAACAATTGCGACGCGTTCGAAATAATTCGACATGCGACAATGGTGCAATCTGTTTCGATGGCCATCCGTGTGTCATAGAATTGACCCGAAGATGGATTGTTTCGTTGGAATTCGAGTTGTTCTTGTACGACTTCCTCTCTACGAGGAAGTACGCTTGGAAATGTGGAGAACTCTTTAGTTTACGTGTTATTGGAGAAATTGATTGATCGAGGGGATAAAAATACAGTGACTTGAACGAATAAGAATTTTATCGCAACAATTTGATTTCCGTTCCAATGAATAAAGATTAAGAGAGATTAATAAAGGTAAAGTGGATATTCAACACTGTTCGATATTCTGCGAACAGTGTGTTATGTTTTTGTTAGATCTACAGATGTTTTTCGCCTTTATTTCACTTGTCCTGTATGCCATTCGCAATGACAAACTGTTTCTAACTGTTTCCAGGAGGAATTTGAAATTTTCTCTGTCCCTTTCTCGCACAAAAGATGTTTCGAAGAAAGTTCAATAAAAGGAACAAAGGGCTTGTTCACCTAAATGCAATTCCACTTTTATTTACTATCTCTCTTTGAAAGAAAATTTTCGTTAGTTAAATTTCTATTTATTGGACATACTTAAGTCTAACTGTACATATCCCGACCCATGCTGTATTAGAAAATTTTACAAAATTTTGGAAGCCAACTCTCCATAAAACTATCTATCTTTGGATACTAAATACTGAAATCGTTATAATTTTCTAAAGAGACACAGGTATGAAAGTACAATAAAAGAAACAAAGAGCTTATTCACCTAAATGCAATTCCACTTTTATTTACTATCTCTCTTTGAAAGAAAATTTTCGTTAGTTAAATTTCTATTTATTGGACATACTTAAGTCTAACTGCACATATCCCGACCCATGCTGTATTAGGAAATTTTACAAAATTTTGGAAGCCAACTCTCCATAAAACTATCCATCTTTGGACACTAAATACTGAAATGGTTATAATTTTCTAAAGAGACAAGGGTACGATAATAAACTTGGGCTCACTTTAAGCTATCCCTATTTTCAAAGTCTGTTGTTCATTTCGATGGATTTATTTCTGTATAATTCAACAGGTACACCATCGGACGGTAGAGTCACAGAGAACAATTCAACCGTCCTGGAAAGACTAGCCAAGTTCGAGGAGGCGTGGTTCCCTCTCTCTTCACGAATTTCGTTGGCTCGAATTTCCAACAGTAGTCACCATACACTGATCGGAGAAGGACCTACCGAGGCAAATCATCGACTTGTCTTGGAGAAGCATTCGTCTCGTCGTGCGACAATCTGTCGGTCGTGTTCATCGTGTATAAGTTGTACAAGTTATTATGCAGTGACACCGTGAGTTTCGCGGGAGAGTCGTTGTACTGTGTGTGGGCTGTGTGTAACGTGATTTTTGTGGAGACGATATCATCATGACGGAGACCACCAGCGACTCGTCGAAGAGTATCATGAAAGATCCGGAGCACGAGAGCGGCTACTTCGAGGACGGCAGCGACATAGAGATGTGCGCCGAGGAGACGGTTGTCACCGAGGCTTGGCATTGCCACTTGTCCAACAGTCGCGAGTTCGCCAAGGCCGTTTACGAGCTCGAGTCGGCCTCAAACAACTGTGAGGCTAAAGAGAATGGAGGTATGATTTTTTCTAAAAAAAATAAAAAAAAATAAACAAAAATCAAAACCGTCTACACTCGATATACACCGAGTAGGTTTCCCAATTTTAGCGTGATGAGGAGATTGAGCGTGTGCTTTGACCCTCTATAGACAAGTTTAAAAGATCAAATTAACGACCGCTTTTTGAATGATATTGAAATTAATTAACTGTTCGCGTTAAATAAACTCGCTCTGTAGAGCACGCTATACAAATCAATTATTGACATAGTTGGAATTGATTTTTTTTTTTTTTTTTTTTTTTTTTTTTTTTTTTTTATTTTGCGGTACGCAAACTGGACAAAGTCGCACTAAATTTCTGAAAGACTAATTAGGAAGTTTACATGAGTTTCGCATTAAGTTAGAAATTTTTAGAGTCCAAGGTCATTTGAAACACATCTGAATGTATTTTTTTCACAAGCTATGGTGTAGGAGAAAAATATACGTTTTCCACATATTTTAAAAAATATGATAGCTTTTCCATCCGATTTGTCTCTAATTAGTCAGTCGACGCTAGAATATTAGTCAGAATTTTAAGTTCTAAATGAATTGCTCAAAATCTTCTTAAAACCCGACATACCTTAATGCGAATGCACTGAAAGGAATTGTAAGGTCTTTGGGTTGTTTGCTGTCCTTTCCTGACTAATGACCATCCTACCTAATGAACCATACCGATTTGACGCGACGGTCAAAATAGATTCACTTATTGTTGGTCATTAGCCGGGTCCTGTACAGTTGGCACAATCGATATGTCATTAACACTAGACACCTATATTGTCGATACAATATATAATATATAATGTAATGAAATATAATATATAATTCTCTACAATTATATTCTATTTTATAATATAATATAATATTCTATTATAGAATATTATATTTTATATAATATAACAAATATAATATAATATATAATTCTCTACAATTATATTATATTTTGCTCTATTATATTCTACATAATATAACAAATATAATATATAATATAATATATAATTTTCTACAATTATTATATTTTGCTCTATTATTCTACATAATATAACAAATATAATATAATATGTAATTCTCTACAATTATATAATATTCTATTTTATAATATTTTATATAATATTCTATTATAGAATATTATATTTTATATAATATAACAAATATAATATAATATATAATTCTCTACAATTATATTCCATACAATATAATAAATATAATATAATACATAATTCTTTACTTTATAATTATATTATATTTTGCTCTATAATATAATATTATATTTTATATAATATAACAAATATAATATAATATATAATTCTCTATAATTATATTATATTATATAGAATATAATATATAATATTCTATATAACACAACAAATATAATTAATATACAAGTCGCTATTTTTTACACTCGTTATTCAAAAGTATTGGTAAAATTTGAGGAAACGTCCCAGCAGGATCTGATAACCTGGAGAAAGGTCCCCTCGTTGCTACTTAATATTTTAATTTACGACCACGTTACGTCGTTTCCTCAATCTGTACTTTTACGTCTTTGCACGCAAATGTGACGGAGATTTTCTAACAGTCCCGCTGAGCGCGGTAGCTTTGTTCCAAAGGTTGTGTCATATTTTTCGTCGTGATTGTCGTTGTCGAACTGTCTTGTCTTATGGGGTCACGCCATAAACGTGCGTAACGTCACGTCGGGGATCCTCTTTCTTGACCTAGAAAATAAAACGACCATTTGTAGATAGTATATTTCGTAAATTTGACGAGATTTTCGATAATTTATATTCCCGGCATTTCGGCTAATCTTTTTTAACGTGGTTTCGTTATAAAAATTTCTCGTTAAAATTTTACCAGCTCTCTCGTTGAAGATGGAAGGAGAGAACGACACGATTTGATCGCGGACCAAATGCTTCTACGTATTATTGCAGCTGTTCAAAAAATGGAGCGCTATAGTGGCGCTACACGTATATTGCGTAGCTCTTGTTCCAAGCGCAACAAATCTGACTGATCTTGAGAATATACTCCGAATTCACTCCGTGAAAATCAAAAGTTTTGCTAACAAATTTTGTTGTTACTTCTCGTTTTCAAAAGAACATAAATTTCAACTTCTAACTCGAATAAACGTTTGAAGAAACGACGAAAACATATATTAAATTTTTATGTATTAAAACGTATGTCTACGTATTATGCATTAAAACGAATGTGTCATAGAGCACCCGCGATATGAATCGTGATCTTGATTCGTAGTCGAACATACACGAATCAAGTTGAATTCGAGTTTTAAGTTTAATGAAAGTTGTGTCTCTGTTTAAATTTCCCGCGATGTCCAAACACCTGTTACAACCTCTCTCAACAGAATGTTCCAAATATGTACCTCGGACAATCTGAGGGGCGTAACAAAAATTCTTGATGCAGTTGCGTGCCGTAGACACCTCTCATTACTCTGAAAAAGATTTTCTCACAATCAGTTGAAACCGGAGCTAGAAAAGAATTACCTACCGTCGATAACAAAAGTATTCTATATTTTTGTAGAAAATTCTGCAAATTTTAACTCCCAACTTCTATATTTTGAATAAGTGACAAACAACGAGAATATATTACATTTGTGTTGTCCACGTATTAAAACGAATATTACGTAATAGAATACCCACGGGTATGAATCGAATTTCTACGAGATCGAGTGCGTAATTTAAATTTCAATTCTTCAGATTGAGTAAATTGACAACGATTTCGATTAATTCACTCAATCAATCTCAATTTCACAGATTGAAAATTAATAACGAATTTCGTAAGAAGTCAATACTTGCTCAAGAAGGTCGAAACAGTACTATACTGTGATTATAAATTATTGACGCTGGAACTACCGACGATCGAAGCATAAAAATTTCCGATCGGAAACGTTAAAATGAAAAGAAACTTTTTTTTTTTATTTGCAAAGGATCGCTCAAATCTCTAAAAAATGCATTGCATCTAAATTTCTAGGAAAAATCATAAACCGGGTCGTTTTGGCGGTTTCTAGTCTCTCTCTCTCTCTCTCTCTCTCTCTCTCTCTGGAAAATCGCGAATTATTCAACTTGGAGAGTTAAATAATTATTCCGAACATCCAATAGCGAGCCTAACAACAAGTGTGTATGTAAAGCGCATCGAACTCGCCGTGTGTTCCAAGCTGCTCCAAAGAAATCCGAGGACTGACAACTCCTAACCGCATTGTGCGGTTTCTCTCTCTCTCTCTCTCTCTCTCTCTCTCTCTCTCTCTCTCTCTTTTACGCGTGCTCGTCTATACTTGGCGTTCGTCTTTCATTTTTTTCTTTCTTTCTCCTCTCTTCCTTCTTTCTTTCGTTCTTTCTCTCCCCGCTCCCCCTCCTTTTTTTTTTTTTTTCGTCGTTTCGCCTTGTTTCTCTGCCGCGGTTTGCGCGAGACGCGTGTACGTGCCTGCACACGCCACTTTCTCATCCGCATTCTTCTTCGAACCTGGTTGATCCTGGTGAAAGAGGCGGGAGAGTGAGGACAGTGCATATAATTGGGTCCAGTTTGCGGAGCCAGTCGCGGCTGCTGTATCCTCCTCCCAAAGGACATCCGCGTAGCGATGGGCCCTCGCGACGCGCTCCGATCGATTTTTAACTCTTTCAAGCCGAGTGTTTCGGTTGCTCGAGAATATTAGTAGAAACAGTGAAATAAAAATGTCTATCGATCCGATACAATCGTATCGAAGTATCGGTAATACACATATAATTCAATTAACATTCATTATGTTTCATCATTATAATTCAGTTGTAATCGCAGTTGAATAAATGATTATAATTCGATAAATCAGCTCATTGTAATTGCGATTCAACAAATTATTATAATTTAACATAATAATAATCAACATGATATAGATTTATACAGTTGTGTTTCGTTGTCCAAACAGAAATTAACATCAATTTTGACAAGAGTATCTTTGAAACAAACGAATGTCTGCAGTCAACAGTTATATTAATATATATATTATATTTTATATATTGTTATATTAATATATATATATTATATGCTATATATTGTATTATTATATTAATATATATATATATATATTGTATGTTATATATTGTATATTATTATATTAATATATATTATATTACAAGTTCTATTGTTACAGTACATTATATATACATAATGTTATGTAATGTATATTATTATATTAATGTACATTATATTACAAGTTTTATTACAGTACATTATATATATATATATATATAATGTTATATATTGTATATTATTATATTAATATATATTATATTACAAGTTCTATTGTTACAGTACATTAGTAAAATCACAATAGTTAAATTAAGATTTTACAATTGTTTATGAAACTTCTAGAATGATAGTTTTAACAAACAATGTTCCTTACGCGCCATTTCAAACTTCTCGCCGGGAGGGTGTTGAGAGACTACGTACCTTTGAATGATTCGAATGGAGAGTTCAAGAACTCTTTTGGAGATGAAATTATATTTCATTAAAAAGAAACGATAGATACATTTTATTGTAGGTGCAAGCTCGGAGAGACCCGTTATCGAATTATGTATGTTGGAACCAGTCCTCTTTCTCTTGGGGACCCAGGATAGCGTTTCTTGCACAGATAGGAAAGACTGGCGTGGAAATGAAAGAGGAGAGGTTCTCGAGTTCTCATTGTGTGTCATCGAGAATTCTCGGTGATCGATACTCGAAGCGTTATAAATGCGTTATAAGTTGGATTAAATTTGTTGAGGATTTAGGTGGAATAACGGCAGTTTTCCGTTTGGTTTATTCTGAATAAGAGAGGATTGTCGAGGATTCTATGTTTGAGGGTTGTTTGTAGAGCTAAGGATCCTCAAGTAGTAATACTTGATTTATCTTTAGAAATCTGTCTCTAATTTGTCTTTAGAAATATTAGAAATACTAAATACTTCATAACAGCTAAGAATCTTCAGTGAGCAACAATAGCTAAAAATCTTTCAGGTAGAAACACTTAGT